TCAACCTGCCGTCCGTGGGTGAGACGTCAGAGATGGCTCGGGAGTTCATGGCTTCCATGACAGCTATGGACCTGACCCAGTTAATTCATGGCCCTACCCACACAGGGGGAAACACGCTGGATCTGGTTTTTGTCTCTGGACAGTGGTTGAGGGATCTTGATATAGGGGATATAGTTACTGAACCCTTGTCATGGTCAGATCACTCTCTCCTTCGTCTCGACTTTCGAACCGCTGCACCCCGCCGCAGGGAGGCGGAGCCGGTCAGATGGTTCCGCCCCAGGCGCCTGATGGAACCTGACAGATTCCAGACGGAGCTTGGGCCATTTCCTGAGGTTCTGGCACACGCCTCGACTGGAGACCTGGTGGCCGCCTGGGATAGGGCGGCTGCTGGTGCTCTGGATCGGGTCGTGCCTTTGCGGCCTCTGACCCGGCGCCGATCTCAATTGGCTCCTTGGTTTACCGAGGAGCTGAGGGAGTTGAAGCGCCGGAAAAGACGCCTAGAGAGTAGTTGGAGGGCCAGTCTTCTTGAATCTGACCGGACACTAGTAAGATCCCACATTAGGAATTACTTAGTGGCGATAAAAGCAGCGAAATGTAGTTATTTTGCTGCTCTTATTGCGTCATCAGATAATCGCCCGGCCGCCCTCTTTAGGGTGACCCGCTCCCTGCTCCACCAGGAAGCGCGGGAGGACCCCTTGGAGGGTAGAGCCGAGGATTTTGTTCAGTATCTGTATGACAAAATCACTCAGATTCGGGAAGATTTGGACTCCGACTGGGTAGTCTCAGGGGGAGAGACGGGGGCAGGTCTTGAGAATGTTATCTGGGATGAGTTTGATCCTGTGACCCCTGAGGACGTGGACAGGATTCTGGGTAGACTGAACGCGACCACTTGTTTATTGGACCCGTGTCCTTCCTGGTTAGTACTGGCTTCCCGGGAAGTGACACGAGGCTGGCTCCAGGGGATTATAAACGCTTCGCTGAGTGAGGGTGACTTTCCCGCCGCCTTGAAAGAGGCGGTGGTGAGGCCTCTCCTCAAGAAGCCTTCCCTGGACCCGGCAATGTTGGTAAATTATCGTCCGGTCTCCAATCTTCGCTTTGTTGCGAAGGTTGTTGAGAGTGTGGTCGCGCAACAGTTCCCCCAGCACCTGGATGAAACGACGTATCTGGATCCGTTCCAGTCGGGCTTCAGGCCCGGGTACAGCACGGAAACGGCATTGGTCGCGTTGGTTGATGATCTCTGGAGGGCTCGGAACAGGGGGTGCTCCTCTGTCCTGGTCCTGTTAGATCTCTCAGCGGCTTTTGATACCATCGACCATGGTATCATGCTGCACCGGTTGGAAGAGTTGGGGGTGGGAGGCACTGTGTTGCGGTGGTTCTCCTCCTTTCTCTCTGACCGGTCGCAGTCTGTGTTGACAGGGGGACAGAGGTCGACCCCGAGGCCCCTCATATGTGGGGTGCCGCAAGGGTCGGTCCTCTCGCCTCTCCTGTTCAACATTTATGTGAAGCCGCTGGGCGAGATCATCCGTGGTTTCGGGGTGGAGTACCATCAGTACGCTGACGACACCCAGCTGTACATCTCCACCCCGGATCACCCCAACGATGCCCTTGAAGTGATGTCCCGGTGCCTGGAGGCCGTACGGATCTGGATGGGGAGGAACAGGCTCAGGCTCAACCCATCCAAGACTGAGTGGCTGTGGTTTCCGACGTCCCGATATAGTCAGTTGACGCCATCACTGACTATTGGGGGCGAATCATTGGCCCCCACGGAGAGGGCTCGCAACTTGGGCGTCCTCCTGGACTCACGGCTGTCTTTAGAAGAGCACTTGATGGCCGTGACCGGGAGGATTTTTCATCAGGTTCGCCTGATTCGCCAGTTGCGTCCCTTTCTGGATCGGGACTCTTTACGCACGGTCACTCATGCCCTTGTCACCTCCCGCCTGGACTATTGCAACGCTCTCTACATGGGGCTCCCCTTGAGGAGCACCCGGAGGCTCCAACTGGCGCAGAGTGCGGCCGCGCGGGTGGTAATGGGAGCGACATGGCGTTCCCATGTAACACCTCTCCTGCGCGAGCTGCACTGGCTCCCGGTGGTCTTCCGGGTGCGCTTCAAGGTTTTGGTTACCACCTTTAAAGCGCTCCATGGCTTAGGACCCGGGTACTTGCGGGACCGCCTACTACCACCAATAGCCTCCCACCGACCAGTACGCTCCCATAGAGAGGGGCTCCTCCGGGTGCCGTCAGCCAAACAATGCCGACTGGCGGCCCCCAGGGGGAGAGCCTTCTCTGTGGGGGCACCTACTATCTGGAACGAGCTCCCCCCAGAGATACGGAGGATCCCGGATCTGCGCACCTTCCGCCGCGCCTTAAAGACCTTACTATTTCACCAGGCCGGCCTGGCCTAATTTTCCCCCTCTTTTATAAAAGATTTTTAAAATTTTAAATATTTTAAATATTTTAAATATTTTTTAGTATTTATATATTCAATTTTAAATTGGTTTTAAAAGTTTGGGGTTTTAAATTTGTCGGGGCCAAAATTATTTAATTTGATTTTATTCTATTTTTTAAATTTTGTATTGTATGTGTTTTTATTGTTTGGCTGTGCACCGCCCTGAGTCCTTCGGGAGTAGGGCGGTATAGAAATCTAATAAATAATAATAATAATAATAATAATAATAATATTTGCTTGCCAGAACTCTGTTTTTGAAACACGAGGGATGATGGAACTGCAACTATGGATGGGGAAAAGAAATAAAGAAGGAAATAGAGATTAAATATTAATTAATTAACAAAATCCATATGAATAGTATTACATTTAGTCTTAGAGATTTGAGCACTATTATCTTTAAGTGTTTTGAAATTAAATCTAGCTTTAAGAAACAATATCAAATAAAAGACAAGTAATAATGCATGTAGATGTATATATGTATATAATTGCACCAATGAACCGAAAATGTACTGAATGTATCACTATATGTTATAATAAAAATCAATTTTTTAAAAAAAAAAAGGAATTGCAACTATTGGCCCAGTAGAGGTCAGGTGACACAATTGGAAGTGAGATTCCAGATTGTCCCCAAATCAACTGGCCATTCTCCTTTCTCTGACATGCCAGAACAAGACTTCTGTCTTCTTCTAACTTCCTCCCCCTGATTTCCTGTCCAATTTCCTTGCTGGCTTTGTGCTTCGTGCTAGAAACGATTGCACTTATAACCTCCTTGCTCCAAGTTATTCTTCTTCAGTCACAGGAAATGTAAGATTTGTCATTTATCTGTTCTGCCTTTTCATTTCTTTTCAAAAGAAGCACCAACATTGCTCACAAACAGTTTTCAGCTTTGTTTACTTTAACTCCACTCTTGTTAAATCTCTTCTGAGTGGGTCATAGAAGCTTGATAGTTCATGTGCCTTCTCACTCTTAGTTTAAGTGGTGGAGGAAAATAAAAAGTATCAAAAAACCATTTCAAATTCCTTTTTATTTTCTGACAGTTTTGATAACCTCGTCATTACCAATGTATCCTCCTTTATCCCCGAACTCTCTTGCTTGCCTTGGACTTGCCCTCCAGTGTGAGCTCAATTAAATGCAATTTCTAATTAACTTTTTTTTAATTAAATAAGAGAGGGAAATCAGTCTAGAATGTTTAAGGTGCTGTCTGATGTTTGAGGAATAAAAATCATTAAAAGAATGGGCAGAGCAAAGCACTTGGGATTGAAAAAATGGGTGGAAATGTGTTGTTCTCAAGAACTTGGGAGGCAATTGGTGGATTTGGAATTTGGAAATTATACAATTTTGGAAATCCTAGTGGAAAATTCTACAATTTAAACACTGGGGGAAAATTGGGAGATTATGTTTTTGAGTAATGATCCAGGAAATAGGTAAAATTAGATTCTTTTGGGGTGAATTTCTTTTTCAGGCATGTTTAAGCTATCACTTAAAGGTAAAGGTAAAAGTTCCCCTCGCACATATGTGCTAGTCGTTCCCGACTCTAGGGGGCGGTGCTCATCTCCGTTTCAAAGCCAAAGAAGATGTCTCCGTGGTCATGTGGCCGGCATGACTAAACACCAAAGGCGCACGGAACACTGTTACCTTCCCACCAAACGCGGTCCCTATTTTTCTACTTGCATTTTTATGTGCTTTTGAACTGCTAGGTTGGCAGAAGCTGGGACAAGTCATGGGAGCTCACTCCATTACGCGGTACTAGGGATTCGAACCGCTGAACTGCCGACCTTTCGATCGACAAGCTCAGCATCTTAGCCACTCAGCCACCACGTCCCTTAAGCTATCAATTATTTTTTCCTAAAGCACAATGTTTGAAATATATATAATCTCAGTCTCACAAGGGATAAAATACAAGGCATTTCCCCCCCCCCCAATGTTTTTTTTTCCTTACTTCCCTAAGAACCACTGACTTAATTAACTCCTAGCCAACCTTTGTTAAGCCATCACTCATTGACAGGAGATGTGTTTTACCTGCACCAAGTCTGGCTTCTTGCCTGAAATCCTGACAAGCCATTGCAAGTTGGCATCAGCTGTGCTGACCTACCTAATACCACAACCCAATTTAACATAGAAAGTCTGAGGCAGTCCAGACAAGGCTGAGCTACAACTCCCAATGGGCTTTCCTAGCAATGCTGATTGCAGGCCAGCAAAATCTGGAGAGCTGCAACTTAACTTATGCGACCTGGTGAGTGACAAAGAAAAGCTGCTTTGTCTCATGGCTACCATCTGTTTGTGGCCCACTGAACTGCCATGCTTGCAACCATTTTGCAAGCCATCCACACTGCAGGACCCTGACCTTTTCCCTCCCCTTTGGAAGTTCTAGTAATGGTCTGAGGCATTTAGGATCAGACTTTCCACTTGGTTGATCCCTGGATTGTTAATAAATACGGAGAGAGCCTTCTGTGACAAAACGAAGCAGAAAGGAAGTATGCTACTGTTTTACAATATTGCTTTTTGTACTAATAGTTGGTTGTAACTTCTTTATTTTCCTCCCTCTCCTGGATAGCTCCCTGTGGTGGCCACCTAACCTCACCAAATGGAATGATCCTGTCTCCAGGGTGGCCGGGATTCTACAAGGACTCTCTCAACTGTGCATGGGTCATTGAAGCTCAACCAGGGTACCCAATCAAAATCACATTTGACAGGTGACCAACAATTTAATCATGTCAATAAAATTACATTATTGGAAATGCTCTATATGTCAGCTGGGTTATAAATTGTCCTGGGGTGTCCTTTGTGTTTTCTGAACTTGGTGGAGTTTTGTGGCGATCATTTCATATCAGAGTTTCTTGCAAAAATCAAATCCAGAAGCACACACAGATAACTGAATCAGCTGGATTTATTAACTTCTTTATATTCATAATAACACATAATAACACATAAATAACACATAAATAAACATATAAATTTACAATACCAACAGTTGATTCTTTAGCTCAGATCAGCAGATATGTTCACACACAGCTTCACAGCTCAGAGTTTAACACACACACTGGTTTCAGTTTTGTTTCTCTGCACAGACTCAGAAGCTGCAGACTAAGACACGCCCTGGTTCCAGTCTGTCTCAGCTCCCAATTGGCTGACTTAGTTGCTATGCCTATTCATTGGCTGACCTTGTTACCATGTCTTCCCAGTCATGAATATTCTGACATTTTGTTATCCTCAACAGTGTTAGAAAGGAGTGGTTGATATTATCTAGTTAGATAATGAAATATCTGGGGGAAAAACAGCCAAGCTCAGAGAGAGCATCAAGAGCCCCACAGTTCAACTCTGAGCTACAAGTATTCTCTTACATTGGTATAAATACTCATTTTTTAAAATAAAATAAAATAAAATTTACTATCCAGGTTCATTTGTTTCTCTCTGCTTGTGCATATGGACATTAGGTTGTGAAAAACTTGAAAAAAAAATATTTATTTTATGAAAAAAGCTATGATACACTTTTTAAAAGATGCTTCATTGAACTAAATGCCTTCCTTCACTGCTGAAAGCAAAACAAAATGTTGTATTGTGTTTCTGAGGTTTCTTCCATCATGAGGCTAAGTTAGCTCTTTCTGGCTCTTTAGTGCCTAACGGAGTGAGATGGGATGGAAAATCTTCAGAATCTATTCTGATTTAAAGTTTTTTGGAATTTTTTTCTCTTTCAATGAATACATCAAAGAAAACATTTAAACAAATAGAAAAGGAAACACGAAGAAGAATGAAAAACATATTTTATTCTTTTTCATGTTCCCTTGTGTATGTATATACATATGCAAACCAGTGTTGGGTTTCAATTTTTTTTATTACCGGTTCTGTGGGCGTGGCTTGGTGGGCGTGGCAGGGGAAGGATACTGTAAAATCTCTATTCCCGCCCCAATCCAGGGAAGATTACTTCAAAATCCCCATTTCCTCCCGATCAGCTGGGTCTCGGGAGGCATAGAATAGATGGGGGCAGGGCCAGTCAGAATTTTTACTACCGGTTCTCCGAACTACTCAAAATTTCCACTACTGGTTTTCCAGAACTGGTCAGAACCTGCTGAAATCCACCTTTCATGCAAACACATACTACACATGTTAAGATCACTTTTGTACAGTACACTTTAATACTCTGGTTTCTCTTCAGATCGTATAAATCTTTTGCCTTTTACTTTTGTACAGTACTTTTGCTATCAACACATTCAATGTTTTGAGAAATACGTTTTGATTTAGCTATCAGATAAAATTGGAATATAGATTGTCTGCATTAATAAACCCAAATTTTGACTACCCAAAATTGGTCAGGCCCAAGCCCAAAGATGACAAGATGAAATCCAGTTGAGTCCCAATTCTTTATTTGCTCACATCTAATAGACAGAATCTTGCCAGGCTAAAGCTGTAACCTTCTAAGCTATTAGATATATCCTGGGAGATATTAGTGTGTGGCTACTCTGAACCTCTTCCTTCCTCCCTCATCCAGCTGGGGACTATTCAGTCTGTTAACTTGGGCTTGTCTCCAGAATGTGCTGCCTCCTCTCTGGGAAAGCTTTGTGCTGCCAAAATTCCCCTCGCTGTTTCTCCAGGTGCACATTCCATCACAAGAACATTTAAAAAATTTTTAAAGATAGATTTTGAATGGGAATTGAAATAACTCCTTTTCAGGGCACGCTTGCCTTTCTCCAGACATATCCACTACAATTTGTGTCCTTTTTCCTTTGTGCCATCCACTTTTCTCTTAATTTTCACCTAATCCAGAGCATTTTGGGCATTCTTGATGAAGTGAAGATAAAAGGGAAAAGGCATTGGAACAGCTGGAGGTTAATGTTTTTCTTTTAGTATGAATAACAAGAGCCGACAAAGGATTCTCAAAGGATTCCTGTCAGGTGCAGACAGCAAGTACCTCTTTGGGAAGCGGACATATTCATAATGGTGGCTCAGTGGTGGAATGCAATTCCCAGGGAGGGAATTAATTATTTCATCTAGGCCATGTTTTTCTACCCTTGGGCCTTTCTGTTCTTGCTGCTCTTTTAAAATTGGTTCTGTTTCATGTTTTATTCTCTGTTCAGGGTTATTGATCTTAATTTGCCATTTGTTTTAATCACAGTTTATGGTGTTGTTTTTAGAAAGTATTCACTTCGTTTTGATTCTGTAAGCTGCTGTGAGAACTTCAGTGATAGGAGCAGTTTATAAATATGGAAGAGGGAATAAAATTAAATGGGGCGTGTGTGAACAAGGGTAGGATAGGTTCAGCTCACTTTGGAGAATCATATTTAACCAGGGGTGGGCTCCTGGGGGGTTCAGCAGGGTTCGGACGATCCTCTAGCCAAGGATCGCCGGGGTTCGGTGAACCCGCAAATGCCACCCATGGCTGGCCATGCCCACCCTGCCCCACCCCTCCCAGGAGTCTCCACGTGGCCGGTTCATCATTCCAGGTAAGTGCAGGGGCCACTCCGAGAATCTGGGAGGGCAAAAAACGGGCCTACCGGAAGTTCTGGAAGTCCAGAAATGGGCCCGTTTCCGGCCTCCAGAGAGCCTCCGGACCCCAGGGGAAGCAGTTTTCACCCTCCTGAAGGCTCAAGGAAAGCCTCCGGAGCCTGGAGAGAGTGAAAAACGCCCACCCCTGCCATGGTGCAGGTACCAATGTCATCCACCCCACAGTTCACACAAATGCCTTTTCGATGCTTGGCAGCTGCCCACATTTATGGCCATTTGCAGAAACCAGGGGTCATGTGACACAATATACAGAGGTTTTGCTGAAAACCAGTGTTTACTTCTGGTTTCCAACAAAAACATGTTGTTGTTGTTAGTTGCGAAATCATGTCTGACCCATCGCGACCCCGTGGACAACGTTCCTCCAGGCCTTCCTGTCTTCTACTATCCTCTGGAGTCCATTTAAGCTCATGCCTACTGCTTCAGTGACTCCATCCAGCCACCTCGTTCTCTGTCGTCCCCTTCTTCTTTTGCCCTCCATCGTTCCCAGCATCAGGCTCTTCTCCAGTGAGTCCTTCCTTCTCATTAGGTGGCCAAAGTATTTGAGTTTCATCTTCAGGATCTGGCCTTCTAAAGAGCAGTCAGGGTTGATCTCCTCTAGGACTGACCAGTTGGATCGCCTTACAGTCCAAGGGACTCACAGGAGTCTTCTCCAGCACCAGAGTTCAAAGGCCTCAATTCACAAAAACAAAAACATAACCCATATCAAACAATTAGTTTGCTTAACAGCCACGGTGTTCATTTTATGGCCACTGTGTTTGCTTAATAACTGTTGCAGGAAAGGTTATAAAATCAAGCCTAATCAGTGGTGACCCACTTTATGATGATCACTACTTATGACCGTAATTGTGAGGCTTAATTATGGCCATAACTGGAGGACTATCTGTTATGGGAAGAGAGAGGAGAGGATGAAAGGGGGCTAATGAGCCTTGGTGGCGCAGCAGACTAAAGCACTGTTAAGTAGCACCAGCTGCCTGCAATTACTGCAAGTTCAAATCTCACCAGGCTCAAGGTTGACTCAGCCTTCCATCCTTTCGAGGTAGGTAAAATGAGGACCCGGATTGTGGGGGCAATAAGATGACTTTGTATAAAAAAGAACACCGCTTGTGGGAGCCGAAAGCCCTACTAAGCAGGTATAAACAAAAGTATGAAAGCTATTGCTTAACACATTGTAAGCCGCCCTGAGTCTCCGGAGAAGGGCGGCATATAAATCGAACCAATAAATAAATAAATAAATAAATAAATAAATAAATAAATAAATAAATAAATAAATAAATAATTTATTACCAGCTTTTATCTCAATTTTTTTTTCTGTAGGTTTAAAACGGAGGTGAATTATGACACGCTGGAAGTGCGGGATGGCAAATCCTACTCCTCCCCCTTGATTGGGGTTTATGATGGGACCCAAGTCCCCCAGTTTCTCATCAGCACCAGCAATTTCCTCTACCTGCTCTTCACCACAGACAAAAGTCACTCGGACGTTGGCTTTCAGATCCACTATGAAAGTAAGTAAATTAGGCCTTTTCCAATGTCACGATAGATCACCTAAACCTGTAGAACCGATCTTCTTTGTAGGCTTTTAATCCAGGGGTGGGTTCTACTTACCTTTACTACAGTGGTGAAATGTAAAATTTGTTACTACCGGTTCTGTGGGCGTGGCTTGGTGGTGGTGGTGGGTAATATGACTGAGTGGGCGTGGCCAACTTTTTTTTTTTTTTTACTTTTAAAACCATTTTTTCTACAACCTCTTCGGCTGAAGAGGTTGCAAAAAAAAATGCTTTTAAAGCCTCTGACGATCCCAGCTGACTTGCCTGATCAACAGAGGCTTTCTTTCTTTTTTTTAAAGCCTCTGACGACCCCAGCTGAGCCATGCGATCATCAGAGGCTTTTTTTTTTTAACTTTTAAAAGCATTTTTTTTGGCCAAAGAGGTTGTAGAAAAAATGCTTTTAAAAGTAAAAAAAAGCCTCTGATGATTGTGCGGCTCAGCTGAGTGGGGGGGTGGGCAAGGATTTTTGTTACCAGTTCTCCGAACCACCCGCCTCCATCGCTACCAGATCGGGTGATCCGGTCTGATCCGGGAGCATTTCACCCCTGGTTTGGGACAGGGGTGAAATCCAGCAGGTTCTGACAGGTTCTGGAGAACCGGTAGCGGAAATTTTGAGCAGTTCAGAGTACCGGCAAATACCACCTCTGGCTGGCCCCAGAGCGAGGAGGGAATGGGGATTTTGCAATATCCTTCCCCCAGGAGTGGGGAGGGAATAGGAATTTTGCAGTATCCTTCCCCTGCCATGCCCATCAAACCACGCCCACCAAGCCACGCCCACAGAACCCGTAGTAAAAAAATTTGGATTTCACCACTGGTTTGGGACCATAAAATATGGATTAACATCCCATGGAGTTCATATAGTTCAGGCCTTTTCAGTTGGCAATGTCTCTGGAATAGCCTCCTTCTGCAAACCTCACCAATCATCATTTTGGCTACTATTACACTATTTATTTCATGTACATTATCCTCCAAATATGGTCTATGATGATTACAATGAGGACAATGATGTGTTTGTATTTCCTTTCCCTTTAAAATGTTTTAGGGTTGTTGCTTCAGGTTTACCATTTAATACACCCATATATCCCATGCCATAATCAAAAAGCAATGTTTCAAATCCCATTTCCATTCCATTCTGTATTATATTAATACACATTAATTAAAATAGCCTCATTATCAGCCTACAGTCAGCACCAAATGTTCAATTAACAGCAGGGCAATGCATTATTTTTCTCAAAGGTTCCATTAAACACAGTGTGGTGGTCCCTGACCTAAGTAAAAACAAAATGTAGATTTTTTGATTACAGTTCTAAGTTTCACTGAACAGAAGTCAGGTTTTGAAACGGATGTAAATCTGACCAGATTGGACAGTACATGTTTCTCCCAGAACATTGTTGGGTCCCAAGTTTAATATTTCTCAATACTGAATAGGATGATGCAAAAACGTGTATTATTAGACGAAGAAAAATTATCTGTGTATCCCATATTTTTATTGAGATCAACTCACATTTTACTCAGCTTTAGTGGCAGCCATGAGGAGGCTGATTTCACTGGTATCATATAAGCCTCAGTCAGGGGTGGGTTCTACTTACTTTTACTACCATTTCGCAACAGGGCCGCAGAAGCTTCCTGATGACGTCTGGGTCAGTGAGCGAAGCCTTCTGCCTTTACTACCGGTTTTATTACCGGTTTTACTACCAGTTTTACTACCAGTTCTTCCGAACTGGTCCAAACTGGGGGCCACCCACCACTGGCCTCAGTACTATCAGGCACAGACTGAAAAATTGAATGCCCTTATTTTTTACAGCGGTAAAGCTCCAGTCCGATCACTGTTTGGATCCAGGGATTCCAGTCAATGGTCTACGATATGGGAATGATTTCTATGTGGGGGCACTGGTGACTTTCGGCTGTGATCCAGGGTATACTTTGAGTGATAGTGAAGCTCTGGAGTGTGAGCCAAATTTTCAGTGGAGCAGGCCGCTTCCAAGCTGTGAAGGTAAGAATCTAAAACTGGAAAGCTAGAAGTTGAACAGAAAAAAGATATGCTGCACTGATTCTATTCATCATTAGGTGTGGTTGAATGTAGTCTAGATTCCCAAGTAGGAAAGGATGCATTCCAGAGGGCAAAAAGGCCGCTAAGAATGGAGAGTTTGGTCAGGAGAAAGAGAAGTAGGAAGGCTCCTCCCTAGTGATTCCAGAGTTTGTCTATAGTGATACAAATGGTTGCTTTAGTTTGATAAGATTTCTACCTATAAGTAAAGAATGTAAAGGAAATTACACAGAAATAGTTCCTAGGGGCCAAAATCCCAGGACTGGATCTCTGCAATGTGCTGTCTTCCATATTGCTGCATTCTTCTTTCCTTCCACCTGCCCCAAACAGTTGTACTCATTTGACTTAAATCTGGAAATCTGTAGTAAAGATTTTTTACTACAACAGTAGTAAAATTTGTCTCTTACTCTTTAGATAATTGAGTTGAAGAAAACACAGTTCAGTCAGCAATATCTAAGAGGAGAATTCTGTGTGACAGAGCTCTGAATTCTCTTTGGTCTTTATATTCAAATCAAAATCCATTGGCCTTATCTAATTCTCAACGTATGTTATTTGTGTTAGGTTCCAGTGGGAATTTTGCACAAGACCTTGGAATTCTGCTTAAGAATATCCAAAGGACTTGCCTTCTGCCACTTCAAGATTTTTTTGAAGGGAATTGTATAGACATGTTTTTAATAGTTCAATAAAATAACTATAGCTGCCTGAAATCTTCCTTAATGTAATTTTAGAGGTTCTCAAGCATCCTTCCTAAGTATCAGAAGCCCCAAAGGATAATAGGGAGAAGGGAGAAGCAATGGAAGGTGTTTCCAACATCTTTTTGGTTAGGAAAAAAGAAACAAAATCGAACTCTTCCAATAGGGCAGTGGTGGAATATAACTATTTCCAAGGTTATTGTTACACAAAGTCCTTGGAAAGGGGTGTGTGTGTGTATGTGTGATAAAGAGCAGACAGGGTTGGGACAACACAGTTCTTCTGTTTGGGACAAGTCAGACTTGGAGCTATGTTCAGCTCTACGTTTTCTGCATTTGATCAGAAAATGTGGGTGTACAAATGCAGAACAAAGTCAGAGATCTTACAGATCTTGAGTCATGGCATACATGCAAGCTAGCAACAGACAAGACTCCCAGTGATGCACTCCAATGTTCTTTGATCTCCAGTGAATTAGCTGCAGGAGAAGGTCCCTGTAAAATGATTACAATGACATGCTTGTCTAGGTATAGCTGGATAATCAACAATAAGACATCCAGATGTGCATGGGAAAGGGGGCAGAATGTGTGGGGTGATGTTTATGTCCTTGCTGGGGGGGGACAACTTCACAGCTGGGACCTCTAATGTCTGCTTCTTTTTTTGTGATGGTTTTCAGCTCTCTGTGGAGGATACATTCAAGGATCAAGTGGCACTGTATTATCCCCAGGCTTTCCAGATTTCTACCCCAACAATTTAAATTGCACTTGGATTATAGAAGCTTCACATGGCAAAGGTAAGTCCTATGATTCTTCCATGTTTTCATCAACCCTCCTTGGAAAGTTAGGAGGATATTTCACACACACACACACACACACGAGTCTTGGTGTGCTCCACAGAGCAGGCATAGAAGCAAAAGAAGAGGAGTGATTGTTCCACTATCATTATAAAACAAAGATCCATGGAGACAAAGTTGAACTCAAAATAGAAAAATGGAAATAAAGAAGGCTGCTATTCCAATTTAACTTAAGAGTATAGTTTAGATCCACTTTCACTCTTATGATGATCCCCTCACATCATTAAGGAAGCTTCATCTTTATGCATCTTTAGATACTTCCTATAACCTCCTCTATTTCTAAGGTAAATGTTTGAAATATTCTTGGAACCCCAAGGTGCACAAAATATGTCTATAGTCATCTGCTTTGAGATTCATCAGGCTCACCAGTAATTAAACATTGCCTTTATTTATTTATTTTTTATTAATAGGCAACTGTAGAAGCCATAATATGTTACCAACAGCTTGAAAAAGTTGGATATCTTGTAGACAGATAGTATTTTTTATTATTGTATGTATTGAATTGCTTCTTTTTTTCTTCCTGTCTCCCAGTACTCTTTACAATTCCTTCCACCCAAATTTCCTTAAATCCTCTTCTCTCCCTCTCTCCCTCTCTCCCTCTCTCCCTCCCTCCCTCCCTCCCTCCCTCTCTCTCTCTCTCTCTCTTTTGCCTTGGGTTGCATTTTGGCAGAACATACATTTCTTTTCTCCTCTCATCAGATTGTCTGAAGCTCTTTCCTGCTTCCTTTCCTGTTTCTCTCTTCTTTCATAAAGTGGAATTTGAAGAAATTATGCTCCAAAGAGCTGAGAAAAAAAAAGAGGGATTTAGGGAGGGGGGGGCACAAATTGTACATTAATTTTGAATGTCCTTCAATAGCTCAATTCCTCTAGTTTGCTAGGAATCCAGACAATGGGAACTATTATCCATCAATTCTGTGTTGCCAATTGTATTAAGGTAGATAAACCCATTGTTGAAAAGCGCAACACATTACTAAAGAGTTACATGCTGTGCAGGGTATCCCACAGAGCTGAGCAATCTACTCTTCATTAATCCACTCAGCCCTGAAATCTCACTTCTGATGAGAAGCTTCTCATTATCCTACTGCAACACTCGGCAGATACCACATAGAGCTTGATTCTCTCCCCCTAAAATGTTATTCAAATGGCGCCTTCTTTTCGTTCGGATCAAAGGGTGGCTTTTGGCCACCCTTTGTGAGCAGTATTTGTAAGCTGTGCAGGGCAACATGCTTTCACAGCACCAGTTTTATAAATAGTTTATTTTGCAAATGCTAGGATCTCTCTGGTACCAGCCTTATGGGATCAGAATGCATTACGGCAATGCAGATGGGTGGTCTGTGATGTGCTTCCATGGAAGAACCTGGCAGCAATCTGAAGATGACAGTAAAGTCAAAAACAGACCGACAGGGCAGGTCCAGTCTCTGATCCAGCAATCACTTCTCTGTATAATTAAAGGCTCTGGGCACTTCCAAGGCAGAGTTCATGCAAAGCATCATCATCACAAACACAGACACGGTGATTTCAGGACCCTGGACAGCTATCAGGAATTTACAATGAGTTTTAGCTCCATGTTTACTTCTTCTCCCAGGCACTATATTTTTTTCCTTTCTGCTGGGAAAATAGGAATCCTGGGACCCCACCCCTCCCCCCAGTCCAAATCCCCATCATTTTGACCAGATGGCTATCATGGAGGTTTAGTCAGAAAGCAGCATTTTACCAGGTACATTAATGAGATTATTCCTGGCTTTTCTGTCTAATCCACCAGGACTATTAACCTTCAACATATTCTTGTCTTCCCTCACACCAACATTAACATTTTAAAATATATATTTTGTCATGTACCTCAGAGAGATCTATTGCCAGATTAAAGAAATAAAATTCAGGAAACTTAGAAATAAAGTGCAGGAAAAGATTCTATATTGGTTATTTTCTACAGGATGGGTAGTTTTAAATTCTATATATATATATATATATATATATATATATTAATGAGTAGCTGCCAATTTGTTTCAATCTAGGGTATCCCAAAGGTGCTTTTTTTCAAGAGGCAACTGGACTTTCTGGTTTTTCTTTGAAGACGTTTCACTTCTCATCCAAGAAGTTCTTCAGCTCTGCAGAATCATCTTGGATGAGAAGAGAAATGTCTTCAAAGAAAAACAAGAAAGTCCAATTGCCAATTGAAAAAGCACCTTTGAGACATCTTGAATAACAGTTCTATTTGGACTTTTCCATTTTTCTGTCCACTTTATCTATTTGAGGTTTAGACCAGGGGTGAAATGCTCCCAGTTTGGACCGGATTGCCCCATCTGGTAGCAATGGAGGCGGGTGGTTTGGAGAACCGGTAGCAAAAATCCCTCCCCCCCCCAATGTCCAGCTGAGCCGCACAATCATCAGAGGCTTTTTTAAATTTTTAAAAGGATTTTTTCTACAACCTCTTTGGCCGAAAAAATGCTTTTAAAAGTAAAAAAAAAAGCCTCTGATGATTGCGTGGCTCAGCTGGGATCATCAGAGGCTTTTAAAAGCATTTTTTACAACCTCTTCAGCCGAAGAAGTTGTAGAAAAACTGGTTTTAAAGTTAAAAAAAAAAGTTGGCCATGCCCACTCAGTCATTACCCCCCCACCAAGCCACGCCCACAGAACCAGTAGTAACAAATTTTGGTTTAGACTAATTCTTCTAGAGGGAAAGATTTTGTGCAAGTGTGCACAGTAGTCACACACACACAGACATCCACCCACACTTCGTCCTTCCATTATTTTAAAGCTTCCTGTTATCATAACTCCAGTTCTCTTGAAATTGACATCTATCATGAAAAAAAGAAATATAACAACAACAACAACAACAACATATTGAACCTAGGATGCTGGCAGCAACCCGTATCAACCATTAGCACCAGTCAGTGGTATTGTGATGCATTTTTGAATGTCCAGTCGACTGAGTTTCATGTTTAATGAATAAAGTATATATTGAAGTCTATTTCTTGAAGTATTATCTGCTTTCTCAATCTGATGTTTTTCTTTGGTTTGTACAGCCTACTTGAGGTCTCACAGTCTCTAGATCAGTGATTCTCAACCTGAGCAAGTTCAAGAGGTGTGGACTTCAACTCCCATAATTGGTGAGTGGCATGCTGGATGGGGAATTATGGGAGCTGAAATCCACACCTCTTTGAACTTGTTCGGGTTGAGAATCGCTGCTCTAGAAGGGCGGAAAAAGGCTCAGTTCCTCATCAGGAATATCAGTGTCTCCTATTCTCCCTTGAAAAAGGAGCCATCAACCTCCTTTGAAAACAAAAAACTCTTTTTCTTATCCAGCTAAAGCTGAGCATGTCCATTTCTTTTGCTCTTATCCCTTAGAATTAAATTTCTAGTCTGTTAAATCTTGTGTTATCAAAGCCTTGAGGCTCTTGGCTTTGTTTCTGATATATAGTTGTTTGCAGTTAGCAGCCTCACTTCATGGAAGTCCCTAGGCACTGATCAGCTCTTAATAAGGAGTTGGCTGTTACTGTTTGAAGACAGAGCTTGAAGCTAAATGGACCAATGGTTTCCACTTGATATACTGTAGTTCTTCACTCCTGGGTAGTCTCCACCCATTACTCTAGTATTCCTTCTGAAAATTGCATTATCAATTTAGGTGGAACTAATCCTGTAAACAGGCTCCCTATATTCCGGGAGTATTGAATGGGAATCTTGAATGGGGGTAAAATTATCTCCATTTTTTTTTTAATTTGATTTATATGCCGCCCTTCTCCGGAGACTCAGGGCGGCTTACAATGCGTTAAGCAATAGCCTTCATACTTTTGTATATTTTTACAAAGTCAGCTTATTGCCCCCACAAACTGGGTCCTCAATTTACTTACCTTAGAAAGGATGGAAGGCTGAGTCAACCTTGAGCCTGGCAAGATTCGAACTTACTAATTGCAGACAGCTGGAGTTAAATGGGAGCACCCACCCTCTGGAACGAGCTACCCCCAGGAATACGACTAATCCCGGACCTCCGGACCTTCCGTCAAGCTTTGAAGACCTTCCTATTTCAGCAAGCTGGGCTGGTTTAAAATTTTAATGGGTTATTTTAAGGGTAATGGGTTTTAATTGTTTGGGAAGCCAATTTGATTTAATTCTGCTTTTAAATTATTTTAAATTTTATATTGTATGTATTTTAATTTTGGCTGTTCACTACCCTGAGTCCTTCGGGAGAAGGGCGGTATACAAATTTAAATAATAAATAAATAAATAAATAAAATAAATAAATTACAATGCATTAGTCTGCTGAGCTATACAGGCTCCTTAGAATTACACATCATTCTAAGACCCCAAAACTGACAACTGCCTATGAGAGACATACTTGTATACTCTCTGTGTTTAGTAAAGAGTATGCAAGTATACATGGAGAGTATACTTGTATACTCTCTATGAGAGACATACTTTCAACTTACTTACCTTAACCCTAACCCTAACCCAGGAGTCAGCAACCTGCGGCTCTGGAGCTGCATGTGGCTCTTTCACCCCTCTGCTGCAGCTCCCTGTCACTCAAAATATGCGTCACAACCACCAATGTGTGACACCCGCTGGCACGTGATTTATTGAGCTTTTCAACCCCCGGTAGGCCAACCATGGATAAATCCAAGAAAAGAAAAGTTTCAGAAGAAAACAGAATGTTTAATTCAACTACATATGCTAGTTTTGTGGCCACTCAAGAAATAGTCAGGCACGGGGAGGGTTTTGTGGCTCCCGGTGTTTTCTTTTCTGTGGGAAACGGGTCCAAATGGCTCTTTGAGTGTTTAAGGTTGCAGACCCGTGCCCTAACCCAAAAGTAGTGTGGAGACAGCAGGCAAGATAAAAGTGGTGGTGGTGGGGAGATATGAAATAACCTTTTCCTTGTGTTGAGGAAGATTGGCCTTTTGGAATAACGAAGAGTGTATGTGCTAAAAGTCCAAAAATCCCCTTGTATATCAATACATTATATTTACAACCCTGAGACTTAGTCATCATCTGCCCCCATTGAACATTTTTTCTCCTTCACTAAGAGATTTTAGCCAATTGGTGGCACAGTGGTTAGAGTGCAGTAATGCAGACTATTTCAGCTGACGGCTAGCTGCAATTTGGCAGTTCAAATCCCACCAGGCTCAAGGTTGACTCAGCCTTCCATCCTTCTGAGGTGGGTACAATGAGGACCCAGATTGTTGGGGGCAATATGCTGACTTTGTAAAAACCACTTAGAGAGGGCTGTAAAGTGGTATATAAGTCTTAAGTGCTATTGCTTAATGCTATTGCTAATTTGGTGAGCAAAAAAAGAGAGGATGAATTGCCTGTTTTATTGGAATGTCTCAGAGGAATCTGTCAGCAGATCCCCACTTTTGTTAGGAGGGAGAATGAATGCCTTTGGATGTCATTTCTATGTTGTAGCACTGGTTAGTATAATGGAACTTGTCCTCTTGAAATTCAGTCAGCTCCTACCATACAAGGCCTTTAGAAGGTACCTAGAATTGTTTAAGATTTTGATTCTTAAATGATGCCATCTCTTTTTTTTTTCTGGCTTGTTCTTTCTATGTTTTTTATTTTATATTTTTTTAACATTCCATGGCTCTGGAAAATTGTTTATTTAACATATTGTATCACGGCTGTTTTAATGGCAGTATTTTAACCTACTTAAGTATCTTGATTGTGGCAGGTAAAATAAAATAAAATATAAATCAATAAATAAATGGAAGCTTTCTGGATGACTGGACTAGTCACTCAATATAACTGGTCAAGCTGGCTATATGTCAACAGTAAAGAAGCAATCATCATTTTACTTAATTATTTATTCTGCTGTTTTTAAATGATTGCCCACTATAATCAAATAACTCTGAGAGGCTAACAAGGCCTGAAAACAAAAACATGCGTATAAAACAGTAAAAAACATCAGGTAAAAATTATCAACTCCTCAACCAATGCAGATGAAAACACAATTTGTCAAACAACACTGGATAGAAACAAGAAATACTTCTGACACATTTCATAGTGCTTGCTCCGATGAATTTTGACTTGGTACAAGGTTTGAATTTAATGTGAACATGTTCCCTTATTCTCTACTTTTGTTTTATAAGTGTTCAAGGGAACTTTTATAAGTTATAGACTAATGAATTGTATCATTACACTTCAAAAATAATGGTCTTTTCCCCCTTAAAGCGCTTCACTAAAAAACAATCCCAGTATATTTGTTAAAAATGCAATAGCTCAAAAACCGAGTGTAAGCATTTCTAGCTCCATTTTGGCTAAAAATAGAAGACAAGGATGAGGTTCAGCTAGGGATTGAGGGATCTGTTTGTAATGCCAGATGTCCTCATTTTAGAGAGGAAATAAAAAATAGCAAATGCCATGACCATATAGATTCCTATCCAGTAAGTTTCTATAATAATTTCAAACTTACCATGGCAAGTTTACACATCCAGTTACATCTCAGAATGAGATGTGAATTTTCTCTATGAAAGGTTTGATCCTCAGCAACTGAGAAGAATTTTAGTGATAAATTTTAGTATTTACAAGACAGGATATTTCACAAAGCAGACGAAATAACTACAGTGATATGAATTGAAATAATTAAAAAAAAAATCTTACAAGGTATGTACAATTCAACACTCAAGAAATATTAAAGCTGAAAGAAGGACACAGAACATAGAATATAGAATAATAGGGTTGGGGGGACCTTGGATGTCTTCTAGTCTAACCCCCTGCCCAAGCAGGAGACCCTATACCAATGATAGCGAACCTATGGCACGGGTGCTACAGGTGGCACATGGAGCCATATCGGTAGGCACGCGAGCATTGCCTTAGCTCAGGACCAGCGCGCATGCGTGCGCTGGCCATCTTATTTTCAGGCCTTCTGGGCCCACCAGAAATTGGGAAACAGGCTGTTTCTAGCCTCTGGAGGGCCTCCAGGGGGGTGGGGAAGGCCGTTTTTGCCCTCCCCAGGCTCCTAGAAAGGCTCTGGAGCCTGGGGAGGGCGAAAAATGCGCCTACCGGGCCCACCGTGCCATCATGTGCCAAAAGCAGGGGGAGTTCGGGGGGATGGGGTGCATTGAATTATGGGTGTGGGCACGTGCATGCACGGCCCCCTGCATCGCTTTCGGCACGCGATGGCAAAAAGGTTAGCCATCACTGCCCTATACCCTTCCGGACAAATGGCTGTCTGATCTCATCTTAAAAACCTCCAGTGATGGAGCACCCAGCTGGAAATGACTGGAGTCTCAAGAATTAACAGACAGGATCAAATTTTAGAGGTCTTGTTTGATTAGTTGATTAAGTGCCACAAAATTATTGTTAACTTTTAGGCACCCCATAGATCAGTGATGGCTAACCTTTTTCCGTTGTGTGCCAGAAGCGATGGGGAGGGGGGTTGTGCACACATGTGCCCACACCCGTAATTCTGTGCACCCCGTGCATGTGCATGTGACCACTCCCCCCGTTCCCCCCCATTTTTTGGAGCCTGGGGAGGGCGAAAACAGCCTTCCCCACTTCCCTGGAGGCTTTCCAGAAGCAGGAAACAGCCTGTTTCCCTACTTCCGATGGGCCCAGAAGGCCCGAAAATCAGCTGGCACATGCCGGAGCTGAGTTCGCGTGCCCACCAATATGGCTACGTGTGCCACCTGTGGCACGTGTGCCATAAGTTTGGCATCACGGTCATAGATTGTTCTCTAAGACAATCTGCCTCTAACCTGATCCTTCAGCTCTTCCAATAACGCACTAATGGCTAGCATGACTATCCACTTTGCTCCTGTTGTATTCTTCTCTTTCCTTTCACCTTTCTCAGCATTACAGTCTTCCCCTGAGAGCTAGGTCTTCACATACTGTGTCTGAAATAGGTCTTGAGAGTCCAACGAAGATAATTAAACTTAAGATTCGGAAGTATCCCCAAAGATTCAAGAAAAGGAAATTAATATTGATGACCATTCCCTTAATGTGCAAGTTACAGCACCATCAGAGGGCATTTCATCCACCAGATAACCTCACAATGGGAACTTCCAGACGGAGCTAAGCAGTTTACTATATCATATTTACAGCAAAATAAGATCCCCTGAGTTCTCTGAGCCTGACTCAATTTTCTGGGTTAAAGGTTTCTACTCATTTTCTTTCTCTCAAATTGATGGTCCCACTGCCAGTTGATAAAACTTTGATAGAGTTGGAATCATGTTCCGTTCTCTGCGATTCCTACAGGGATGGAAAGAAAGCACACCATAATTGAAAGTGCAAAGTTCATGAACGTCTATCTCAGATTTATTGTGTTCTGTTCCATTTGTTTTTAAAACTATGTTCCTAGTTTTCTGTGGTTTCCAAATCCAGAAGATTGCTTGAAAAATCCCTAAATTAGGTATAATACATGGAGACACAGGAGAAAGAGTCCTATTGTGCAACTGTTATTCTGATCAAATCTAGATCCTTTCCATTCTTTCCACCGTTATGTCATTAATGTTATAAACAGACGTCTCTATGTCCCTTGTATCAAAGCTATTGCGATCCTAAAGTTTCCAGTCTTAACATGTTTTGTTGATGTTTTGCACAATCTCTAAAGCATTCATTCATTCATTCATTCATTCATTTATTCATTCATTTGTGTTATAAAGCTGATTTTTTTTGCCAAATGAAGAATGCTATGGGACTTTGATTTTGTGGTTGGTGGGATTTGGTAGTTCTGTGATTTCTTTTCTCTGATTAATCATAATCCAGTTCTCAGCAACATTTAGGTATCTCTGAAGTAGCCTATCTCTTGCACTGTATTACCTCCAGGTGTTTTCTTCACTTTCCACACTTTCCATTTGGAGAGTGGTCACGACTACCTGTTGATCACTGAAAATGGCAGCTTCAGTCAGCCACTGAAACAGCTCACTGGTTCCCACCTGCCTGCTCCTTTTAGCGCTGGTCTCTTTGGGAACTTCTCTGCTCAGATCCGCTTCATCTCGGACTTCTCCATTTCTTATGAAGGCTTCAACATCACTTTTTCAGGTAAGGGCTAGTACTTGGGAAGTAAGTACCGTATTTTTCAGAGTATAAGCTGCACTTTAGTTTTTGGGGAGGAAAATAAGGGGGTGGAATTCTGCTTTTGCCTACTAGGTATTCATCTGGCTAGCATCCTTAGCCTGGTCAGCTTCAGCACATTTTAGTTTGCTGGTTGTGAGAGGCTGAAAATGCGCGGAGGTGGCAATTGGCAGCAATGTGCTTTGGCGATCCCCGCAGCCTTGAATGGCTCTCAAACGGAGCATTTGGAAGCTGAAAACGCGAGGCACAGAGCCCAAAAATGCAAGCCATTGTTTGTGGCAATCTCTGAAGCCAGGAAGAGGATGCACGGGAGCTGAAGGGTGGGAGCCAGCGGGTGGGCAGGACTACATTTGGAGTATAAGACGCACCCAAATTTCCAGTGTCTTTTGGGGAGGGGGAAGTGCGTCTTATACTCTGAAAAATGTGGTAAATACCCTGGATGGGTCTTCTTTCATCACCAAGAAATGTCATGAGGCTCCAGACATTGGAGACAAGAAATGGACATCTTGGAGAGACATGTTCTAGATCAGTGATGGCTAACCTTTTTGCCATTGCGTGGCAGGAGGGAGGGGGCGGGGGAGTCACACATGTGCATGCCCACACCCATAATTCTATGCACCCCGCGCATGTCTGCACGACTCCCCCACACTCCCCTCACTCCTGGCACGCAATGTCTCGGTAGGCCCATTTTTCTCTCTCACCTGGCTCCAGAGCCTCTCTAGGAGTTTGGGGAGCGCAAAAATGGCCTCCCACCCGGAGGCCCCCTGGAGGCTGAAAACGGCCCATTTGCCAACTTCCGGTGGGACTGGAAGTTGGCAAATGGGCCGTTTTCAGCCTCAGGGGGGTGCGGGTGGGGAAGGCCGTTTTCGCCCTCCCCAGACTCCTAGAGAGGCCTTCCCTACCACCCCCCGAGGCCCTCCGGAGGCAGGAAACAGCTTGTTTCCCTACTTCTGGTGGGCCCAGAAGCCCCGAAAATCAGCTGGCTGGCATGCACATGCGTGCCGGAGCTGAGCTCACATGCCCACTGATATGGCTACGTGTGCCACCTGTGGCACACGTGCCATATGTTTGCCATTACGGTTCTAGATACTGAACACTTACTTTAGATAAAAAATAAACACTGACCAGTCCTTGACCCTCCTTGGTTAGTCAGTCATAAACCACTATAAATGTTGGACCTGCTCTTCTTACAGCCATTCTGTGACTGTAAGCCATGTGCTGTAGCAAAACTCCTTACACTTAAAAACTAAAGCAGAAATTTGAGACAGTGGGCAAACTTGACATTTTGACCACCTGGCTATCACAGTGGGTTTAGTCAGAAAGCAGCAAATAACCAGAAGGCAGACTAATGAGATTATTCCAGGCTCCTTGCTCTCAACTCTTAGCTTATTTTTGACTCTCCTCTCCCCATCAGCAAAGTGTTCTCGTAATTCTTTTAAAGAAATAAAGATGACCCTGAAGGCTCTGCCTTCCGTTGCAGCATTCCAACTTCATTTTAATTCTAACAACAACATTAGCATTTCAAAATATATTGTGTCATGTACAGCAGAGGATCTAATGCCGGAGCTAAGAAATAAAAAATTAGGGAAGCTGATAGGAAAAGATGGCTTCTGTGTTGACTGTTTACTCCAGGATGGGTAGTTTTAAATTATTATTATTATTATTATTATTATTATTTTATGAATGGGTAACAATTTGTTCCAATCTAGGGCATGTTTTACTATTTTTATTTTCTATCTTGGTTGGTAGCAAACCATAAGCAATTGCAGCCCTACCATCCTCAAAATGTGTATAATGGTCTGGTTTGTATAATGGTTAGCTGTTAAATTATTTGTTTGCCAGTTTTTTTGATGGTGATTGTAATATGTCATGAACCAGTGCTGATAAAATAACATTAAAAACTGATTCCAGGACCAGAAGATACATTTTTTTTTAAAAAAAAAAAGTGCATTAAAAAAAATAATAGTGTCCACTGACAGACAGACAGACAGACAGACCAGGGGTGAAATCCAACAGGTTCTGACAGGTTCTGGAGAACCGGTAGAGGAAATTTTGAGCAGTTTGGAGAACCGGCAAATACTACCTCTGGCTGGCCCCAGAGTGGCGTGGGAATGGAGATTTTGCAATATCCTTCCCCTGGAGTGATTCCCTGGATGGGAATGGAGATTTTGCTGTATCCTTCCCCTGCCACGCCCACCAAGCCACACCACGCTCACCACTGAGACAGACAGACAGACAGACAGACACACAGACACACACACCAGTGAGTGAAAAGCCAGTAACTCAGCTAAAATTTACTTCTGGCTAAAAATAGAGGAGGCATTTTTCCAGTGGGATCTGCATTGGCACATTAATATGGAGGAATTAGCACTGCAAAGACATAGTTTTATTTCTAGCTAAAACCAAGAGTCAGCAATGTTAGCAGAGTTAAAGGAGAGGCAGGAGAAGAATTGCTCACTAAGAGAGTATCTACTATTTGCACATAGAAGATACATTCATCAAGAATCATAAGGTACAACACTTATTGATAGTCATAGGGAAACATTAAATACAAATTGTAAGTATACAAAGTACAGGGTTACAGTCATAGAGTCATAAGTGAGAGGAGGTGGGTGATGGGAACGATGAGAAGATTAATAGTAATGCAGACTTAGTGAATAGTTTGACAGTGTTGAAGGAATTATTTGTTTAGCAGAGTGATGGCGTTCAGGAAAAAACTGCCCTTGTGTCTAGTTGTTCTGGTGCGCAGTGCTCTATAGAGTCGTTTTGAGGGTAGGAGTTGAAACAGATTTTTCTTTCATCAGAGTGGATCACAACCAGGTCCTCTCCAGCCCCACCCCACCAAATAAAAATGCTGAATAATTATCAAGGCTTTCTCAAGGCAGATTGTCACGTGCATAGAAGATCAATATTGTATGGTCAAGAAAAAGGTTGCAACTTTCCAGATCTATCTATCTATCTATCTATCTATCTATCTATCTATCTATCTATCTATCTATCTATCATCTATCTATCTATCTATCTATCATCTATCTATCTATCTATCTATCTATCTATCTATCAATCTATCTATCTATCATCTATCTATCTATCTATCTATCTATCTATCTATCTATCTATCTATCTATCTATCTATCTACAGTATCATCTCTCTCTCTCATCTTCCTATCTTCCTATCATCTATCTACCTATCTACCTATTTTCTACTTATCTATCTATCTATCTGTCTGTGTCTGTCTGTCTATCTTTATCTTTATTCAAATTTCTATACCGCCCTTTTCCTTTCGGACTCAGGGCGGTGAACAGCCAAAAAATAAAACATTTTATATACAAAAGTTAAAATAAATTTAAAATAATTAAATAAATTTGGCCCATTAATTTAAAACATTCCAATTAAAACCATATCAAAATTATTTAAAACCAATCATAAAATCAGGACAGCCTGGCTAACTGAAAAAAATAGGTTTTGAGAGCCCGACGAAAAGTCCGGAGGTCTAGGATCACTCGTATCTCTGGGGGTAGATTGTTCCAGAGGGTGGGTGCTACCACAGAGAAGGCTCTCCCCCTGGGGGTCACCAGCCAACATTGCCTGGCCGACGGCACCCTGAGGAGGCCCTCTCTGTGGGAGCGAACTGGCCGGTGGGAGGCAATTGGTGGCAGGAGGCGGTCCCGTAGATACCCCGGCCCTAAGCCATGGAGCGCTTTAAAGGTGATCACCAACATCTTGAACCAGCACCAACACCAACACCATCCATCCATCCATCCATCCATCCATCCATCCATCCATCCATCCATCCATCCATCCATCCCATCTATCTATCTATCTATCTATCTATCTATCTATCATCTATCTATCTATCTATCTATCTATCTATCTATCTATCTATCTATCTATCTATCTATCTATCTATCTATCTATCTATCTATCTATCTATCTATCTATCTATCTACATATCTATCTATCTATCTATCTATCTATCTATCTATCTATCTATCTATCATCTATCTGTCTATCTGTCTGTCTGTTTATTTAATTTATAGGCTGCCCATCTTACCTTAAAGTAATCATGGGTAGCTTACAATCATAAAAAATAAAACTATATATAAATTAAAAACATAAATAAGTTAATCCAAAATCCTATGGCCCGATTAAAAGATGGGGAGGGTGGGAGCAAGAAGCGGGGGGGGAGGTGGAAAGTTATTAATGTCAAGGAGGGAAAGAGATAGAGAAATTTTCATTTCTATGAATTGTATTTAAAGGTGTAAGTTTTCTATTTTGGGGGTAATGCCCCAGTGGTGGCTTGTGTTTCTCTACCCATCAGACTATGACTTAGAACCTTGTGATGAGCCCGAAGTGCCAATCTACAGCATCCGCAAAGGTCTTCAGTTTGGCGTGGGGGACATCTTGACTTTCTCCTGCTTCCCTGGGTACCGACTGGAAGGGGTCTCCAGCATTACTTGCCTGGGCGGTAGACGGCGTGTGTGGAGTTCGCCACTGCCAAGGTGTGTTGGTAGGTGGTCACCTGCTTTAATTTTGCTTGGGCAGTCTAGTGTATCAGAACATACCCTGGGCAAGCTCTTTAGCCTTTCTTGTTTTTGGTCTGTAGAAAGCATTAGGAGATGGAAAAGGCTGAGTTGAATAAACAAGACCAGGAGCCTGGAATTGCTGGTCTTATGATATATTTTGCACTGTCCATGTGCTTGATCATCCTTTGACCTTAGAGACATGAAAAAAATAATAATAATCAAAGCCAAGTACTGAAGTCATGGAGTACAGGCACCATTACATCTGCACAAACATCTAGGTTACCCTTCATTATCACAATTTGCAAATTAGATTTAACAAGCACCCAGTTATTAATTTTAGGTAACCCCAGCGGTGGAAATTTAAATTAATAGTTGGGAATCTATTAAATCTGGTCTGCAGATCTTAATTTGTGCTAACGCTGATTAATCAAGTTGACAGGGAATCCCCATGCCATGGATAATGTTAAAAAAGAAAGGGAGGGGAGTGAACCAGGTGCAAATCTGTAGAGTAATCCCAGATTCCAAATAATATATGACTGTGCCATGTTTAGCTCACATAAAAATGGAATTCACATAGTGCATTGAGGCATGGTCCATTGTAACTATAGTCTGTTGAAGAAAGCAGAAAACTAAGTTCTCATACAGTGCTAAGAGATACATTGTGATAATCCTTCATAAAGGACAGAATCAGCTGAGAGATTCTAGGCCAGTCATCTTCCCTCCAGCCAACCTACCACCTGAGGTGGCTTTTGTTCAGAACGTAGAAGAAGAGAACATTATGTATACCATTTTGAGTACAAAAGTAAAGATAGGATCTAAATCTAATAAATAATATATGCACATTCTTTCTCTAAATTGCAAACAAGCCCACAACTTGATTCTGTTGTTTGTGACTCCAAACCGTAAAAAAATAGATTTAATTTGGGAAAAATTATGAGATTGAAACCAAAAAATCCATCTCCAAATGGTTCCTGGGTATACCGGGACATACATTTTTAACTGTAGAAGTGTGGTGTGCTGCAGAGAAGCACAACACACAAAAGATCAAGCAGTAGAGATTCTCCTAACATCAGGAAGCCAGGTTCTTCTAATCAAAATTAAAACCAAATTTCTTTGGTGATAGTCTAGACTTAGAATTATGGGGAATTGCTGCTTGCTGCTGCAGAGAACAGTGCAACTTTCTCATGAGTATGAGCTATAATTAACATATATGAGGCAGAGGCAAGAAGGGAGTGGTCAAAAAAAGTCAAAATCCCATCCCTTTTTATATCTATCACAACACTCTTGCACTCTCTCCTTCAATAGCGCTGTGGACACCCCTGCAGAGGGAGGATTTTTAAGGAATTATTTTCAGATTTTGCTTTTTACACTAGCAATATTTTTCAGACAAATGAAGTGATGTTATTTCCAGCCATAAAAGAATGAGAAAAATCTCACTTGCAATTGCAGTGAGGCAGGAGTGCTCTGGAGGCTGCAAAAATGGCCTTGGCAGCTGTCGGTTATACTATTACTAGCCTGGGTGGAAGTTTTGCTCCATTGGGATTGCTTTTATTTCTCACCAGGCTCAAGGTTGACTCAGCCTTCCATCTTTCCAAGGTGGGTAAAATGAGGACCCAGATTGTTGGGGGCAAAAGGCTGACTCTGTAAACTGCTTAGAGAGGGCTGTAAAGCATTGTGAAGCAGTATAGAAGTCTAAGTGCCTCCCTCCCAGTGGTTAGAATGCAGTATTGCAGGCTAACTCTGCTCACTGCCAGGAGTTTGATCCTGACCGACTGGCTCAAGATTGACTCAGCCTTCCATCCTTCCAAGGTGGGTAAAATGAGGAGCCAGATTGTTGGGGGCAATAGACTGACTGTAAACTGCTTAGAGAGGGCTGTAAAAGCACTATGAAACGGTATATATTAGCCATTAGCTATGGCTAATACTTGCCCTCATCAAGATGTTGAACTTGATGTTTTAAATGCTGCTTACTGAATTATAGATGTCCAGGTTTCTTGTGTCATATACCAACTTGGCTTCATTGTCTGGGGATTGGCAGTATGGCTGGGTTGTCTTCTACTTTAAGATCTCATGGAAGGAAACAACAACCTGGAGAAGTTTAGCTGTGTTCAGCTCCATAGCATAGTTAAAAGGTGCAGAACTAAGATAAAACAGTAGGATTGGTTCAGGGTACAGGGATATATTTACTTATATAGTAAACCTACATGCTGCCCATCTCACTTAGAGATGACTCTAGGTGGCTTATAATATAATTGTGTAGGAGAGCAGCACCATCGTTATCTAACCAGTTTGATAATAGAGCAGGAAAATGTGGCAATTTGGATGTAGTAGTAGACTATATTATGGTGTCCAAATGCAGGACACATGAGTCCTGAATGACTTGCAGGATGGTTCTTTATTTTTGTAATCCAATGTTTAGTTTTTAGTCTAGCACAGTGTTTCTCAACCTTGGAAGCTTGAAGATGGGTGGACTTCAATTCCCAGAATCCCCCAGCCAGTGCTGCTGGCTGGGGGATTCTGGGAGTTGAAGTCCACCCATCTTCAAGCTACCAAGGTTGAGAAACACTGGTCTAGTGCTAGTTTAGGTAAAATTCCACGTGTAAGAAGGGAAACACAATAGGCCCACATCAGTGTTTACCCAGACAGTATCCTTTTTATATCACTTGTAATCCGTTAACAGTCAATCCTTCTGCCTCTTTCTCTATAGCGGAATGTGGTTCTTCTGTGACTGGGACTCAAGGTGTCCTCTTATCTCCAAATTATCCCCTAAACTACAACCACCACCACGAATGTATCTATTCCATCCAGACACAGCCAGGAAAAGGAATTCAGCTTAAAGCCAGGGCATTCAGCTTGGAAACTGGAGATGTCCTCAAGGTAAATGACTAATTGTCTGGTGGATTAAAATGAGATTTAATGAATAGTTAAGCAAAAAGCATAACAAGAACGTAAGAACCAATGCACTTCAAAGCTGATCAGTCACAGACCAAATCTGCAACCCTACCAGTTTGCATTTCCAAAACATTTTCAATTTTCTAGTGGAAAATTGCACCACTCCTTTTTTGGCAGAAAAGGCTATTGAACTTAGGGGGAGAAATGTTTCATAGACTGTAGCAGCTGGAGGCCTTGAATTTCTCTCTTATTCTATAAACTGAAAGAGCCATCTTTTCCCCCTTCAACTTCTCAGGGTCTTTTTTCTTGAAAATATATGGGGAAAGTCTATTTTGCATGGGGTTGTACTTTCTCAGAAAAAGTTGACCTGTAATTTTGGGAATGTTCCTAGACTCCCAACTGCTTCCAGAACTTCTGAACAGTGTTGCTTTCCCCAAGTCTTTTGGTGGCTTTCTATATTATCAATATAGATAATACAAAAAGCAACTTAGAACTAAGGAGAAATTTCCTGACAGTTAGAACAATTAATCAGTGGAACATGCTCCAACACTGGAAGTTTTTAAGAAGATGTTGGATAACCATTTGTCTGAAGTGGTGTAGGGTTTCCTCCCTGGGCAGGGGGTTGGACTAGAAGACCTCCAAGGTCCCTTCCAACTCTGTTATTCTATTCTAATAATGGTAGCCTTCTGAACTGTCTAACAGAACTGGGTCTTGAAGACATTGAGGTATTATGCTACTGGTCGGTTCTATCAGATTGTGACCAGTTGCTGAGGTCGATTGTTTAACCTCTAGGCTTAGAGTTATGGAGTCCCATATTACACCACTGGGCGGGGTCTTTGGAGTAGAGTGTCTTAAATAGTGTTGGGTTTCAAATTTTTTTACTACCAGTTCTGTGGGAGTGGCTTGGTGGGAGTGACATGGCTTGGTGGGCATGGCAGTGGAAGGATACTATAAAATCTCCATTCCCGCCCCACTCCAGGGGAATGTTACTGCAAAATCCCCATTTCCTCCCCATCAGCTGGGACTTGAGAGGCAGAGAATAGATGGGGGCGGGGCCAGTCAGAATTTTTACTACCGGTTCTCCGAACTACTGAAAATTTCTGCTACCGGTTCTCCAGAACTGGTCAGAACCTGCTGAAACCCACCTCTGGTTCAAGCCCATAACATGCATGGCAGAATGAGCTCCCATCATTTGCTACTAGCTCCCACCAGGGGTGAAATCTACTTACTTTCCCTATCGGTTCGGAAATGCATGTGCTGCACGCATGTGCATCACATGCAGACCCTCTGCACATGAGCAAACTCTTGAGTTCAGAAAACTGGATAAAATAATAAAATAAAGCACTGTCTAATTAATCAGGAAACTAATAAAAACACTTTTAATGTCATTTTAACGGAAATGCATATAAATAATGAAGCTGAAGGACACTCTTTTAAAAGAGGTCATCTTCTTTTAACCTTTCATTTGTATGAAAAGCCGGCAGAAGAGAGCACTTATGGTGGCAATTTATATAATAGTTTCATTCTGATTTTGGAGTTGATAGCTGTGAAATGCATTAGGATTTTCTCTCCAGTTTTTAAAATTTTATTTTATAGTTACTGTAATTGTATGCTAACTTGGACCATAAAGTAATATTGATTGATTGATTGAGATAATATACAAATCAACACTGATATAATTGTTCAATTCAAATCATTGGATGAATTTTGCTTACTAAATACAGTAATTATTTTTTGAGATACTATTTAGAGGGGGAGATAGTGGCAACCGTGATTTACTCCTCCAACACCTGCATTGATATAGTCATCTACCAGCTTTATACTGCCAATCAAACCTCTCAGATACATTCTGGGAAATCTAAATGGGTGGCTACTGTGGGTATGCAGAACATTTTAAATATAAGGGTAACATGCTCATTTTGAGAAGAAGAGGGCTGTTTTAGGACACTGGGGTGGAATTTTGAGCTCAAAACTAAGTTGTTGGAAGTTTCACAATGATCCAGGGAAACAACTTCATGTTTTGAGAGACCAGCTCAACTGTACTGTAACATTGCAGGAATACAGATGTTTTGAATGCAAGGCTGTAGGAGAAGAGCAGGCAGACCTGGGGGCAAAGTTAAATGCATCACCAATTTAGAGTCCTTGTGTTGCCATAAGAGATCCTGGTCCAACCCCTCCTGAATTCTGGCACCAATTTAGTGTTGAACTTCACTTGAACAGGTTCATGTGTATAGGCTTGAATAACTTGTTTATACTGCAACCTAATGGGTAGTCCTAGTTCTTTGAGTTTGACAAAGGCATTTTGATATTTTTCATACCCTAATGAATAGAATAGAATAGAATAGAATAGAATAGAATAGAATAGAATAGAGAATAGAATAGAATAGAATAGAATATAGAATAGAATAGAATAGAATAGAATAGAATAGAATAGAATAGAATGGCAGATCTTCATTTTTGCTGCCTGGATAGATAATGTGGGAATGAGAAAATGCAAACCAGCCTTCACAGACGAATCCCAGAAAGCAAGGATGAATGAAGTGTCTGAAGGCATTGTTTCAGAAGATGCCTCCTTCTGAGTCAGGCCAGCACTTGGCTATAGACAGGCTTCAATCTTCACCCAACCAGCAGCCTTTCCCAATCTGGTGCTCTTCAGGTGAAATACCTGTCATTTCCAAATAACATCGGCAATCTCCCGGGAGTTCTGGGGGATGTAGTCCAAACAGATCTGGAGGATACCAGGTTGGGAAAGCTAACTTCTGCCCTTTCTTAGGCCTGGTAATGATGGGCCCATGAATAGAAGAGAAGAGAAGAGAAGAGAAAAGAGAAGAGAAGAGAAGAGAAGAGAAGAGAAGAGAACAGAACAGAACAGAACAGAACAGAACAGAACAGAATTTTTTACTGGCCAAGTGTGATTGGACACACAAGGAATTTGTCTTGGTGCATATGCTCTCAGTATACATAAAAAGAAATGATACATTTGTCAAGAATCATAAGGTACAACACTTAATGATAGTCATAGGGTACAAATAAGCAATCAGGAAACAATATCAATGTAAATATGTAAGGATACAAGCAACAAAATTACAGTCATACAGTCATAAGTGGAAGGAGATGAGTGGTGGGAACGATGAGAAGATTAATAGTAGTGCAGACTTAGTAAATAGCTTGACAGTGTTGAGGGAATTATTTGTTTAGCAGAGTGATGGCATTCAGGAAAAAACTGTCCTTGTGTCTACCAATGCAACATGTCCTCCCTCTTCAAAAGAAAAGCCAACACTGTTTTCATGTCCCAGCACTCAGGCCAAAGACATGGGACAATGAGGAATGTTCCACCCATCGCCGGGGTGCAGGATCAGCAGATGGGCAGAGATAAGGGAATCCATCTTCATATTTGTTTCCTCCTCTTTTCCAAGATTTATGATGGCAACAATAACTCGGCTCGTCTGCTGGGCTCCTTCAGCCATGCAGAGATGTTGGGTCTCAATGTCAACAGCACTTCCAGCTCGATGTGGCTTGAATTCATCACGGATGGAAATGGCACAAATCAAGGTTTTGAGCTGCAGTTTTCTAGTAAGTATGGAGGCTGCCAACCCTGCAGCTGGAGAAAAAGTGTCAGGGCAGTGTTAGAATCTCTGTACTGCTCCCTACCGAGAAGCTCTATTTGGAACCAAACATTTAAGAAAAAAATAGTTTGCCAAGTAAGGGTGTCTAGATGGAAGCCAAGCTAATGCCAGATCTTTTGATGATATTTTATTTTTTTTTAATACCTAAATATTCAAAAGGAAACTATTTATACCTGCTTCGTGTAAGAGCACATTTTTCTTTACAAGTTGTCTGTGTAAATATCATTGTGTTCATCTTCACACACTTCCCCATCTTTCTATGTCTACTGTTCTACTCATATCAGGTTAATAAGACCTCTTTTGAAAAATTACAGATCACTGCCTCCACTGATGCAGTGGCTCAGTGGCTAAGAAGCTGAGCTTGTCGATCAAAAGGTCGGCAGTTCAGCGATTTGAGTCCCTAGTGCCGTGTAACAGGGTGAGCTCCTGTTACTTGTCCCAGCTTCTGCCAATTTAGCAGTTCGAAAGCACGTAAAAAATGCAAGTAGAAAAATAGGGACCACCTTTGGTGGGAAGGTAACAGCGCTCCGTGCGCCTTTGGCGTTGAGTCATGCCAGCCACATGACCACAGAGACATCTTCAGACAGCGCTGGCTCTTTGGCTTTGAAACGGAGATGAGCACCACCCCCTAGAGTTGGGAACAACTAGCACATATGTTCGAGGGGAACCTTTACCTTTACCTTACCTCCACTAAATAAGCTAACAAGAAACAGCCTTCGGTACATCTATTTCCAACCAATCCGTCAGATTGATCCATAAGGTTCAGAATCAGCAAATAACAAGCCTGTTTCAAAGAGGAATCTGTTCCTTGCTATTTCGCAGCATTTTTCTCCAGCTTCTTAAATAGCTCCAGTTCCTTGGGTCTTTTCCATTAGATGCTTCATCTTAGTCCTAGTACCTTAGAAAGACCACAAGGTTGCATGTTCTTGGATGCCTTTTCTCTGACTACATCCTGAAAGTTTCTAAAAGTGTTTCATCAGCCGTTGACAGTTTTTGCTAATGCAACCGCTGAGACAAGGCTGGGATTTCTTTCTAACCAATTGCCTTTATTCCTGATTTCAGGTTTTGATTTAATCAAATGTGAGAACCCTGGTATCCCACAATTTGGCTACAAAGTCCACGATGAGGGACATTTTGCAGGGAGTTCCGTCTCTTTCAGTTGTGATCCTGGCTACACATTACGCGGAAGCCGTGTGCTTACTTGCTTGACTGGAGAGCGAAGATCCTGGGACCAGCCTCTCCCCACCTGCGTAGGTATGACTCCTCCCTCTGGTGTGGTAATCACTCCCCAGATATTTGGCATAGCTGCTAAGGAGAGGCCGGTCCGGTTGATTTAGCTATGCAATTTTATGTCCCAAAGCCACCCATAGTTCTTGGAATCTTCAGGAAAAGCATTGGAATGTTCCTACTAAATTGAAATTTTAATGTGATAAAATTGTTAAATAATTGAATGCATAGCTGAGATGTTATTGGAATGTAAGTTCAGAGTTGCAGGAAGGAGGAGCTTTTTCCCAGAAGGCGAATAGAATAGAATAGAATAGAATAGAATAGAATAGAATAGAATAGAACAGATTTGGAAGGGGACCTAGGAGGTCTTCTAGTCCAACCCCCTGCTTAGGCAGGAAACCCTACACCACTTCTGACAAATGGTTATCCAACTTCTTCTTAAAAACTTCCAGTGTTGGAGCATTCATAACTTCTGGAGGCAAGTTGTTCCACTGGTTAATTGTTCTAATGGTCAGGAAATTTGTCCTAAGTTCTAACTTGCTTCTCTCCTTAATTAGTTTCCACCCATTGCTTCTTGTTCTACCCTCAGGTGCTTTGGAGAATAGCTTGACTCCCTCTTCTTTGTGGCAGCCGCTGAGATATTGGAAGACTGCTATCATGTCTCCCCTAGTCCTTCTTTTCACTAGACTAGACATACCCAGTTCCTGCAACTGTTCTTCATATGTTTTAGCCTCCAGGTCCCTAAACCTCCACTGCAAAAAGACAGCGGAGCTTAGAATGTCTGGTACCCAGGAAGAGAGCAAGGTTGGACCCTCCCTAGCAATTTGCGAAATATATTTGTAGTTATTGCAAGTAATTGTTTGTAGGAGAACAACAATAAATGAACCGCATGTGATTCTTGGTGCCTGGCAAATACAGTTCTAATCTGAAGGCTGCTTGGGATGAATTAGGGGCACAGAGTACCACCTTTACAAATGGATCGGATCAATGGCAGGATTACTGCAGAAGATTATCTATCAACCCTTTTCACCTGTCCAAATGCGTACAATAGCTTTAATTCCTACTATTTCCTTTCCAGCATTCATACTACTGTTTTTTCCAATAACCTACAGGCTAATGAGTCAATCAATACAAGATGCAGTTTGTTTCCTCTCTTTTAGTACGCATCAGGGGCACAAATCAAGCCTTCCTTTTGTCACCATGTCATGTTTTCTCACCGTTTGGCAATGAATGAGCATCGAGAATTGTCTAGCCACTTCTTGGTTTCTAGCGCTGCTTTCAGAATTTTGTCTGGAGTGGAATTTCAACCTTCTGTTACTTGGCTGTCTGAATAAGTCAGTGTTTCCCAACCTTAGCTATTTTAAGTTGTGTGGACTTCAACTCCCAGAATACTGGCTGGAATATTCTGGGAGTTAAAGTCCACATGTCTTAAAATGGCTGAGGTTGGGAAATACTGGAATAGGTGTAGTTAAATGTCTATGGAGATTCTCAGTCACTCAGATCATGGTTGTCCCAAAAGTGCTTTTTCAAGAGGCAATTGGACATTCTGGGTTTTATTTGGGTTTTTTTGGAAGATATTTCGCTTCTCATCCAAGAAGCTTCTTCAGCTCTGAACTGAAGTAGCTTTTTGGATGAGAAGCGAAACGCCTTCAAAGAAAAAACCAGAAAGTCCAGTTGCCTCTTGAAAAAGCACTTTTCGGACTAAAATAGGTGATCGTGGTGTGAGCCAATATATTCAGACTCTTTAGAATAGGGATGTCAAACTCATGTTTTTACGGCGGCGTCACATGATGTATCGGGACTCTTTCCCCCTTTGCTAAACTTGACATGGGCATGGCCAGCACCTGATGCATCCGGCCTGCGGGCCAGGAGTTTGACAGCCCTGCTTTAGAAGGTGCCATTTTGGTACATCCCACTTTAGTATAGCTGGAGTGACATTTTTTTGGGGGGGGATGGGGGGGTGAAATGGGGATGTTCTTAAGTTTCTGAAGTCATTCTGTTTTAAACAAAAACAACAACAAAAAAAATAGTTTCCTTCCCCACTTAGCATGCATCTTGCATTAGCATGTTATCTAATGAATTCTGGGAGTTGAAGTTTACAAATCTTAAAGTTGCAAAGAATTTATTTATTGTATAGCACCAAGGTTGAGAAACATTGCATTAGATCTTTAACAGTTAAGGATGCTGTGCAAATTCAGCCAAATCTGCTTCTGGGCTTACTTTGATGGGCTCCCCTCCCTCATCTCTGTATGTACACTAATCTGACACTTTTCAAGAGTGTGAAAGCACAACACACATCAACCCCAAGTAGTTTGGTCAAAGGAAATTATGAATCAGTAGTTCTAATATATGGTGAGTGTACCCAAATGATAATAGCTGTTGGATATTCTTTTTTTAAAAAAAATAGTTTTTATTAGGTATTTTACATTTTAAAATCAAAACCACAATATCAGAAGAAATACAAAAGGGAAAAAGAAGAACATACACATATATCAAATGCTAAAATACAAAACTAACAACATTTATATACAATTTTACAACTTTCTGCATCAACATTTGTCTTTACGTTTAAATTCCATCTTCCTAATCCTTCTCTTATTTTTGAATGCCCATAATTAACATTTTTGTAAGCAGAATTGATACATATATTTATATCCAGTGTATTAATACTGAATTTCAGTTTATATTCTTATTTCTTAATTTGATTTCTATTTTCTAGCCAGGTATAAAACCTGTTCCACACTTTGTAATAGTCCGAGTCATCTCTTTCTTTGATCTCCATTGTTAATTTATCCATTTTGGCGCATTCAAGGATCTTTTTAATTATTATTTAATAATAATTAAAAAGCTGTTGGATATAAATTTTTACTACAATATAAAATGGAAGAAGAGATAGTGAAGAATACAATGATTAAATGGGCGCAAAATTTTAATTATACAATAGATTTGGAGAAATGGGAAACAATGTGGCAAGTGAATGCAAAATTAACACTATCGGCGGCATACAAGGAAAATCAGCTGAAGATGTTTTACCGATGGCATTTGTCACCGACAAGACTTGCAAAAGTGCAACATGTTGGAAATGTAAGAAATCCCAAGGAACGTATTACCATTTATGGTAGACGTGTCCGGCAGCAAAAAAATTTTGGGAAAATATTGAGAAATGGATAGAACAAATAACAGAACAACGAATAGAAAGGAAGCCAGAAACATTCTTGTTAGGAATTTTTACAAAACCATATTCCAAAGAAATAAAATATTTGATGCAGCAGCACGAATAGCATATGCAAAAAATTGGAAACTGGAAAGAACTCCAACGGAGGAAGAATTGATAGATAAGATTTTAGAATGCGCTGAGATGGACAGATCAACAAAAGAAATTAAGGAAAAGGAAGAGACAGACTATTATAGAATATGGAATAAATGGTATAATTGGTTTAAGATTAAAAATAAAGAGTAATAACTATAAGGAGAGAAGATTAGAAGTACATAATATATATGTGTGTGTGTAAAACAAATGTATGGAGTGGAATAAAAATGTATATAACATGAATGTAGAAATGTATAATATTAAAGATATAATTAAAATATAGAGATTTCTATGGGGGGAGGGAAAAAAAGGATAATGGGGGAAAAAAGAAGAAGTAAGAAATGAAGACATAGGGGAAGAAAAACAAAGTAACAGATGGTAGACCACGATGAAACAATGCTTAAAAATGATAAGATATCTATATGTTGTATGTTGTGTAAATGTCATATATGTGTTATAATAAAATTACAAATTTTAAAAATAAATAAATAAGTAAAAAGCTGTTGGATATTCCATTCTATATTTTCTGTAACCTCTTTCCTCTGGAATCTCTTACTTGAATGGGCAGCAAAAGTAAAGTCTTCCCCAAAGGAAGAAGCAGAGGATGCTTAGAGTTCAGTTGCTGAATTATTTTTGTGGCTTCTTTCAGCTGAGTGTGGGGGCAGCATTCGAGGTGAGTCTTCAGGAAGGATCCTGTCTCCAGGGTTTCCAACGCCCTACGATCACAATCTCAACTGTGTCTGGACAATTGAAGCAGAAGCTGGTTGCACAATAGGGTAAGTTCAAAGACTGGAAAAGATTAGATCAGCAACACCTCCATAACATCCAGCACTCATCCTGTCACTGTGGTTTTCAATCAATTACCTTGTGCTGTGAGCAGGGCACAGGTGTTTCTACGTGGGGCCGTTTCTACCCTGCAATTAAAAAAAAATGCACGAAAATGCCTCTGCCAAAATAACCCCAACTCTTGGCAGGAACAGCCAAGTTCTACAACCTTTTTGAATTATGCAAATTGATCGCATTTGCATGATTTCTCTTGCTTTGCATACTTGAAGTGTTTACTATTTGGCATCAATAGGAGGAGAATAAAAAGTAGGGCTCAAGCTTCATAATCAGCAAATTAATCAACCATACATTTTTTTAAAAAAAAAAATAAGATTTGTGGATTAATCAGGGTAGAGGTGCTAGTTTTAATTGGTCAAATGTAATACTTGGAGACAGGTTGGATTTAGTGCAGCGTAGCAATAGAGGATGGGAAAATAGAAAGAGACACCTGAAGTTCTAACACTCTCATCGTGGCTTCTCTGCTCTCAGGTATTAATCACATTCATACCTGCACAGCTTCAGATGCGTTTAGAATATTGATTGCTGCCAGAGAGATGCAAAGCCCTTTTTGAAGAGCTTAGAAGAGAACATCCAAACCCAAACAATATAATTCCAGCCTGAACTGTGTAATAACAGCATGACAGCTTTCAAGGGTGCAATTTGAAGAAAAAAAAAAAAAAGATCTTGCTAGACAGAACGAGTGTGCTGGGTCCTTTCGAATTACCTGCCAAATTTAGCAAGAGGCATCCACAGAATCCTATCAGATACAAGAGATTAGGGACCCAATGCCACGTAGGTCAATACTACGTTTATTGTAAAGCTATAGTAATAATTTTGCAAGTTTGAATGTACTTCCCTCCCTCCATGATTGCGTAGAGTTGGGAAGAACTTGTCTGAGGCGTTTAGTCACATTACATTCTTGCTCGGGAGTCAGAGCCTTTTTCTCTGACCAGTGTGTTTGCAGAAGCTCTTCCTCCTGCCCTCAGAGCCATTCCTTCTTCCCTCTCTAACTTCAGAGATTTGGTCAGAATGATGAGATGTGCATTGTGATGTTCTGGTACATGTTCTTTCCAGTGGTGAAATCCAATTTTTTTTACTTCCGGTTCTGTGGGTGTGGCTTGGTGGGTGTGGCTTGGTGGACGTGGCTGGGGAAGGATACTGCAAAATCTCCATTCCCACCCCACTTCAGGGGAAGGATGCTGCAAAATCCCCATTCCCTCCCCACTCCTGGGTGAAAGGAGAAAGGAGAATGGGGGAAAGAGCACCAGCGTGCCTACTGTCCCTGTCCTAATGTTCCCTTTAATTGTACTCATTTTATGTATTCATTTCATGCTTATACTTATATATATTATCTAATATGTACTCGACAAAATAAATAAATAAAAATAAATAAATAAATAAATAAATAAAGGTATTGCAAAATTTCTATTCCCACCCCAGTCTGGGGCCAGCCAGAGGTGGCATTTGCTGGTTCTCTGAACTACTCAAAATTTCCACTACCGGTTTTCCAGAACCTGCTGGATTTCACCCCTGGTTCTTTCTCTTATATAATATATGCAACATCACAGTGCCCATATGAAAGCAGCAGAGTTTACATTGCAACAATATGAACTATCATTCCCCCACCCCACACATTCCCATTTATTTGCATGGACTGGCTTGCTCTCTTTCTCTCCAAATTTCTCTTTCTTCATCCATGTAGAGAGGAATCTAAGCTTAAACTTAAGAATTTATGTCTCTACCGGGCTCCAAAAATCAGGAAAGGCACGTTGCTTTTTTCTAAGCAGTTTCATTGATTGTTCCTTACCTATAGACATAAATCTTGCCAAGCTAAAGAAACTACTTGCATCATTAAAGATAGACTCTGAGAACTTCTGGGAGGAGCTGTCTTGATTCTCTTTCTCCTACCCAAAAACTATCTAAACTTCACTTTCTCATCGTTGTCCCCAATTTGGGTCTGAGCATGGTGCCGAAGACAATGATGGACGCCAGACACAAGGTGCAGGTTTTCTGATTGCTTTTTATTGGAGTACTCCAATGAAAAGGGCTCCTGGCCAAAATGCCAAGAACCAAGAACAAAGGATTAAGTAAGTTTTATACATTTTCACTAAAAGAGAAGATGGGACAAGGTGAGATAATAAGAAATATCATCTAATAAACATTTTATAATAATTCTACAATTTGTTCTATTGGTCTCTAGTTGTCCCTATTCCTAAGCCTTGGCTAATGAATGCCCCAGGAGTTATCTAATACACATTTTATTGGCTGCAGGCCATCTGTATTCCTAATTTTTAGCTGAGGCCTGCAAGTTGTCTAACTCTTGTTACTTTTATCAGCTTTCTAACTACGCAGAATTGTTACAAGATTTACACATGCATATTTCCTGTAGATAAGCATTCTTTGTTCTTGCCAGACACCCCCCACAATTACAGTCTTCCAGTTTTACTTTTAAGTGTGTGCCATGACCTGGCTTTATTTTAACAGACAGCCCATCATCTTGCTCCTCTGGAATGCAGCCCCTCCCTCTTGGGAAGCCAGAGTACATCCACCACAAACCTGTTGACACTTTAAATTACATACAACACTTCAGATGTGATCGGGTTGCTGGAATGCTCTACAATTTGGGCATCCCATTAATAGGACAAATGGAACTCTTTCTTTTTGTACCCATATCTCTAGGGAAAATATTTTGGGAAACCTCACCATGAGCTTGCATGTATGTGAGCTTTTATTTGCACACATGGATCACTTCTGAGCCATTCAGTAATCGTGTAGCCTTTTATTGTTTATTGGATTGATTTATTTGTTTGCTTCCTGGTTCCTTAATGGCCCTGGGAAGCTTATGGGGATATAATTTTCAATAAGAATAGTATAAAATCAATCTTAAAAAGCTATTAAAATAATACAACATCCAGTATTAAAACAAGAAAGTTTTTTTAAGCTTTCTGAAAACTGACTGAAAACAAGATTCTCTCAACCCATTTCTTTCTGTAGACATAATACAGCTCAGGTTTTATTTATTTATTTATTTATTGGTTCGATTTATATGCCACCCTTCTCCGGAGACTCAGGGCGGCTTACAATGCGTTAAGCAATAGCCTTCATAGTTTTGTATATACCTGCTTAGTAGGGCTTTTTGCCCCCCCCCAAGCGGTGTTCTATTTTATACAAAGTCAGCTTATTGCCCCCACAAACCGGGTCCTCATTTTACCTACCTCGGAAGGATGGAAGGCTGAGTCAACCTTGAGCCTGGTGAGAATTGAACTCGCAGTAATTGCAGGCAGCTGGTGCTACTTTAACAGCAGCTTAGTCCGCTGCGCCACCAAGGCTCCTTTTCTCAGAATTCTGGAGATTCTGGACCACCAGATATCAATCAAATGAGATTAAGGAAGTCCAATTTAAATAATGAAACATAAATATGATTTCTTTCCAAGAATGTAAAGGACTAGGAAAATACCAATGAAAGTGAACATTTGCAGATCAGGACTGAACTGTGGGATCTTTGGTGCTCTCTGAGCTGGGTTGTTTTCTTGCAGAGGTTTCAAGACCCAATGAGTGTAACTAGTTGAGTTATGAAATGTCTACAAGGAAAGAACCAGCACCAAAGAGCACTCTGAGAACACCAAAGATCCCACTAAGAAAGTATCTGTTCAGCAGCAATTAGCATGATTTAATTTAAAGTCTGTTCAAAGTGAGAACTCCAATGAAATCTGAAATCTTTTCTGAATGCATCTTAAGACTTAATCAATGGGGTGGGGGGGGGAGAGAGAACCAAGCCATTAGCTGTTGCCAATTTCTAATTATACATGCATGTAGCATGCAAAGTCACAAGATAGGACTCTCCCCCACCCCCAATTCCCCTCAGTGTTTCTGCCTATACATACCTGCTGGTCTCTCGCCTACATAGCTTTAGGGAAGGAATGGAGAACCTGGTGAGCTTCTGAATGTTATTTATTGGTATACAATGATCTTATTACCATCACTAACCATAAATCCAGATTTGGATAACGGCAACCTCTAAAAGGCTATAGATCTCTTGCTCCTGATTTAGGATTGTTCTGAAAGAGATTGTGCAGACTTCCAGGTTTAAAGCAATTTCTTTCTCCAGAATCTTTTACCAGATTCTATTTTTTGGCATTCATTCCCTGCCCCCCCCCACCTCACAAAGACAAAATGTCTTTTGAAGATGCAGTTGGATATTAATCTTTTCAAAGCAGCTGTTGATTCATGACTTCATTCAGCAGGACAGCTATGTTTTGAGCTTCACAAATCAGAAGTAAAGAATAGAATAGAATAGAATAGAATAGAATAGAATAGAATAGAATAGAATAGAATAGAATAGAATAGAATAGAATAGAATAGAATAGAATTTTATTGGCCAAGTGTGATTGGATACACAAGGAATTTGTTGTGGTGCATATGCTTTCAGTGTGCATAAAAGAAAAGATATGTTCATCAAGAATCATAAGGTACAACACTTAATGATAGTCGTAGGGAAACAGTCAATATAAATCTTAAGGATACCAGTAACAGGGTTACAGTCATATAGTCATAAGTGGAAGGAGATGGGTGATAGGAATGATGAGAAGTTTAATAGTAATGCAAAGTTAGTAACTAATTTGACATTGTTGAGGGAATTATTTGTTTAGCAGAGTGATGGCGTTTGGGAAAAAAACAGTCCTTGTGTCTCGTTGTTCTGGTGTGCAGTGCTCTATAGCGTTGTTTTGAGGATAGGAGTTGAAACAATTTAAGTCCAGGATGTGAGAGGTCTGTAGATATTTTCACAGCCCTCTTTTTGACTCGTGCAGTATACAGGTCCTCCATGGAAGGCAGGTTGGTAGCCGTTGTTTTTTCTGCAGTTCTAATTATCCTCTGAAGTCTGTGTCTGTCTTGTTGGGTTGCAGAGCCAAACCAGACAGTTATGGAGGTGCAGATGACAGACTCAATAATTCCTCTGTAGAACTGGATCAGCAGCTCCTTGGGCAGTTTGAGGTTTCTGAGTTGGCGCAGAAAGAACATTCTTTGTTGTGCTTTTTTGATGCTTAAAGTTGGTTGGAGGAATGAAAATGATGATCGATTGCTATTATACATGTCATAATTCTGCCTTCTGCTTTCTGGACCTTCTTCTCCAAAAAAGTATTCAACTCATCCTTAACCAACACAACTGTGATTACTTAGTTGGGGGAGGGTTGCAAATAATCTATGGAAGAATTGCAATTTCCCTCAGCGGGACACATTTTGTGAAATTTCAAGGAATACTAAGCGACAAACCAGCAGCTTTGACACCTATGTTTTTTTTAAAAAAAGCTCATCGCTTGAGTCTTTTAACTCAGTATTCCCATTCTTCTTACAATACAGTCTATCAATCTTTTATTGCCTCTTCAGTACAAATGTTTATGCTAATATAAACGTAACAGGCATATTAAATAAAAAGCCAGAGGGGCAGCCCTCCCTAAAACTCAGTCAATTAATAACCACGCAGTTCTCTAACATTTATAATGCATCACCATCATCGCTATTATCATAAAGATGGAATTAAAATATTAAAAGCTTCATGCTGCTGCCACTGCCTGCCATAAGTGGGGGGAGAACCAGTGATAAGGAAAAATAAAAGAAAATAGAAGCCCTGTTCAGTTCGGCACAAGTACAGAGAACCTCTAAAAAATATCTCCTTCTTTTCACTCTATCATCACCTTTCCTACTTGGTCTAAAAGCATCTTTTCGCTGAGAATTTTATCTGAAATGAATTTGCTTCTACCTGCTCAGTTTAGTCCTTCCCCTTCATAACAAGTCTATGATTTCCTGCATCTCTAAATGGTGCTATTTTCATGTTTCATTTCCTCCAAACAATCGTGTATTCGGGTGTCTTTTCTACAAATCTAATCTCATGAAATCACCAGCTTTTCTCCACATGGAAACTGAAGAGAAATTGCAGAGTGACATAGAAGGGACTAGATTTGTAACTGAGTCTCCCAATCTCTCAAGTTAAACTGCAGTTCCCAAATTGTTGGGAGGAATGTTAAAATCTTAGAATTGGGGAAGCTGCTTAGGTCAACTTCATCCTCAGTTTAGCAAACTAAATTTAAAAACATCCCTAACCTTTGGCTATCTAGCCTCTCCTTCAACAAATCCAATGAAAAGGAATTCACCACCTCCTTGTTTTCTTTGTCAAACTGTTTTTTTTTTTCCCCAATTAGAATTTTTTCCCCTAACATTCAGTCACAATTGCCCTCTTTATAATGCATATTCATTATTCTCTACCTGGAATGAATGAAAATAGACAAAACAGAAGTAGAATCAAAATGTATAGTAAAAATGTATAGAAAGTACTTGAATTGGAATGTTATGTAAATGGACACAGTTATGCATAAGATGTGAGTAAGATTTGTTTAATTGTAAAAATGCAATAAAAATAAATAAAAGAAAGAAAGAAAATAGAACTCAGCTTCTTTCTGAGATTGCAGGGAAAAAGTTGTGTCAGTTTGTAGGACCAAAAATAAGAAAGAATCTGGTAGCACCTTTACAGACCAAATATATATTATTAAAAAGCATACAGGTAGTCCTCAGTTTACGACCACAATTGAGCTCAACATTTTTGTTGCTAAGCAAGACAGTTGTTTGGTGAGTTTTGTCCCCGTTTTGTGACCTTTCTTGATACAGATGTTATGTGAATCACTGCAGTTGTTAAATTAGTAACACGGTTGTTAAGTGAATCTGACTTCCCCATTGACTTTGCTTGTCAAAAATTTATGCATCAAGATCCCATAACCCTGGGACACAGCAACTGTTGTGACTCCGGCTCCCGAGCCTGTCCTCACGGAGGAAGATGACTCTGAAAGTGATGGGGAGGAACTGACAAGGCCTCCCTCTCCAGGACCCTCCTTTCTGGCAATGCCTCAGGTTCCAGCTGAAGGCCAGGAGGAAAGCAGGTCGGGGCACCCACTAATAGGGAGTGATGAAGATCAATCTTGTATTGATCCCAGGCAGCGTCGGAGGGAGAGGCGTGAGCAGCAAAGGAAGAGGTGGGGAAGGGCCAGAGAGTGCTGAGTTACTGAGCCATGCCTCACAGGGGATAAAAGTGGGTGGGGTTGCTCTGCAGGCTCTGTGACGGACAAAATACTGCATATCGTGAGCTTCGGATAGGATATTTTTCGGACTTAAGGCTTGGACTTTGTGAATGACTTCCGACTACTCTTTGAACTCTTGGTTGCCCCAGCAACAGACTACAGATACGCTGACTCCTGTTTCTAGAGGTGATAAGAAACTTGGCAGGCATTCAGAAAGTAGCTGCCAGAATTTTTATCTGCTAAAGGGATTCAGGTTAGCTTGTAAAAATAAATTACTGGTAGATATCTTTTGCTTGTGTGTCTGCCTATGTGAGGTGGGGGGACAGAACAGCAACTGTCATAAATATAGTTGCCAAGCAGAATTTTAATCAGGTGACCATGGGGATGCTATTAAGGATGTAACTGTGAAAAATGGTCATAAATAGCAATAGCACTTAGACTTATAAACCGCTTCACAGTGCTTTAGAATCCTCTCTAAGTGGTTTACAGAGTCAGCCTATTGCCCCCAAAAATCTGGGTCCTCATTTTACTAATCTCGAAAGGATAGAAGGCTGAGCCAACCTTGAGCTGGTGAGATTCAAACTGCCAAATTGCAGTCAGCCGGCAGTCAGCAGAAGTAGCCTGCAGTACTGCATTCTAACCACTGCGCCACCACAGCTCTAAATCATTTTTTTCAGTGCCACTGTAACTTTGAATGATGTACATTGAGGACTATCTGTACACAGTTGTCTTATGAATAAAAGTTATTAATCTGAAAAAGGTGTTGCATGCCGTCTCATTGCTACATCATCCCTGTTTGGTGCCTGAAGAATACTGTAACGTTACTTTCCTTCAGTCCTTTCTTTTCTAAACTTTCCCAGTTCTAAAATACAAATCTAGTCTTAATTGTGGCTGTTCTTTCTCTTCCTCGTCCTGTTTTGCCCTCCCCCAAATACAGGCTCCATTTCATGGTTTTCCATACAGAGGACTTCCATGATGTTTTGAGAATCTGGGATGGGCCAGTGGAGAAGAGCATCCTCCTGAAAGAAGTTAGCGGTTCTGTCTTGCCCAATGATATCCACAGCACCTTCAACTTGGTGGTCCTTCAATTCAACACGGACTTCTTCACCAGTAAACAGGGCTTTGCCATTCAGTTTTCAGGTAACTTTCACAGGTGTTGTCTGGTCTTTGGGGTCAGGAGAACTAAAACAGGATGACAATGTCAGAGATGTTTTCAGCTCCCTACAATTCTGCCTGGTAAACTGTGTAAGAGATAAATAATCCCCGAATTTATTACTGTATTTTTCAGAATATAAGACACACTGGAGTATAAGACGCACCTACCTTTTTTGGTGAGGAAAAGAAGAAAAAGAAATCTCCCTCTGCCTCTGCACAATTTTGCCTTGTTGTAGCAAACAGCAAACAGCCTGCTTTACTTTCATTTTCGTTTTCAGCATAGCTTGATTAGCACAAGGGAAAAAAAAATCTGCTCCAGCAATTTACCTCTTTGCAGCAAGCAGTAGAGCCTGCGCAAAACAGTTGAGAGCAAATCAGCTGAGAGTCAGGAGGCCGATCCAATCAATTTTGCTAATTAGGCTGTGCTGAAGCTGAAAGGAGCTGTTTTTTTCTTGCTATTTGCTTGCAAGAAGGTAACTGCTGCGAGGCAGAGGTCAAAGGGTGGAGGCCAGTGGGTGGGCGGGGCTACATTTGGTGTATAAGACGCACCTAAATTTTCACCCCCTTTTAAGGGGGGAAAAGATGCATCTTATACTCCAAAAAATACGGTAATTTCAGCACTCATGGCATTCCAATTCCTCAGCCATTTTTCTCTCAATACTCGTGCAATTTGGTGAACAAGAATTTGTACTAGAAATGATTTAAAAGGAGAAAGAGAATTTTAAGGAATCTCATTAATTAATTAGTTAATTAATGAGAGATTAAAGAATCTCTCAGATGGAATATAGCCGTGATGGCGAACCTATGGCACGCGTGCCGGAAGTGGCACACAGATCCATCTCTCCGGGCATGTGAGCCATCACCTGTTGCTCTTCCGGGTTCCAGCGCACCAGCCAGCTGGTCTTCACATGCATGGTAGTGCCAGAAACCGGAAAAACAGCTGGCCAGTGCACAAGTGCGTGCCAGGCGGCTGCTCTTCTGGTTTTCGGCATGCACATGCACACCAGCCAGCTGGTCTTCACACATGCATATGCGCCAGAAATCAGAAGACCAGGTGGCCAGTGTGCATGCACACACTGGAAACCAGAAGAGCAGCTGCCCGGCACATACATGCACATCAGGTGGCTAGTCTTCCAGTTTCCGGCATATGCCCATTTCGGCACTCGGTGCCGAAAAGGTTCACCAACACTGGAATGTAGTCTTGCACTTTTTAGTGAATGAAAGGGTAAGTGAGAAAGTATGATTGATCTGGCTTTACACTTTGTTGTCCTCTCTCCAATGGTGTGCAGCTTGCCTGTTTCTCACACTTAAATCTCAGGGAGATTTAAATTGACCTTTTCTGGCGTTAAGATCATCCCCAAAGCAAAGTCCATGAGAAATTAATGGAGAGTTTCTTCTCCTTCTGGAGAAATTCAGAGAAACCATCCATTCTCCACTCAGAGATTTAGTGGAGGATTGCAAAGGACCCTTTAGACAGCTGTTCTCTATATATAGTTGATCCAGAATAGCAACATAATTGTGGGAACAGAATGGCTGGAGTTATTGTCTTCAGATGCATGTTGTAATATTTGTACCAAAACTTTTATTTAAATAATCTTAATATTTAAAATCATTTAATATCCTGCATTGGGCATATTTAATGTTAAATATTAAAAGAACACACTAAAACTAAGACTGACATTTGGAAAGGCCAAATAGATATGCCTTTATGTGCTTTTTTTAAAAAACCAAGAGATTAAGAGAGGAGCCAAAGCTGGAGGATTAGAGCATTCCATACTTTGGGAAACCCTTCCAATGAACTAAGCCACTGCACCAGAGGTCTCTTCAAAGGGATCATCTCTGCATATTTTAATACTTCAGCAGGTTTGCAATAAAATATGTTGTCCCTAAGATAGTCAAGCCTTAAGCCATCTAATGTTTTAAAGGTTAAGACCAATACCTTGAGCTGAACTTAGCAAATAATCACCTTCTCTGCATACATTTGCATTAACAGAAAGTTTCAAACTTCCTCGTCCTACATATAATGAATTGAAAATCTGAACCAATCTATGAGCGTCAGTCGGGGATAGTGGTTAAAGCATCAGGCCAGAAGACAGAGACTGTGAGCCTTGACTTAGGGCTTAGACACAAAACCAGCTGGATGACCTTTGTTGTTGTTAGTTGTGAAGTCGTGTCCCGACCCATCACAACCCCATGGACAACGTTCCTCCAGGCCTTCCTGTGAGATCTCGGGCTAGTCATTTTCTCTTGGCCCTAAAAGGGAGGCAATGGCAAAAACGCTTCTAAAAAGAACTCACCAAGAAAACTGCAGGGCAGTCTCTGAGAATTGGACACAATTTAACAGAAGAAGAAAAAAATACAGAACCTAGCCAAACTAGGGATAATTGCTGCCATCCAACTAACGGAGAAAGATTTATAGCTACAAAACTAGGAGGGTTAATCAAATGTCTGACTTGTTACTGTTACTACCTGAAGATCCTGGGAAAGCACAGAGCCAAGAAATACCCTGCAAGCTGATTTTTTTCAGTGGGAGCAAAAGCCGTTTCAGAACAGGCTGCGTTGCAATGCTTAGGCCAGAATGATGACTAACCTTCAGCATTTTAAATTGCCTTAAAGGGTCCACCTTCCTCCTGCCCATTATCTGTCTTAGGCAACATACAAGCAAAATAGCTTCTTTCTAGAAATTAGATGAAAAATAGCAATAGAGCGAAGTGTTAGTGAGATGGATGGATCAATGGATAACAATATTATGAAAGAAATATTTGAGCAGTGACTACAGTAACAAAAGGCACCGGTTTTTGTAAGAACTGAGGCTGAGACGGTGGGTTGGTGTCAGAATCAACAGAAGAAAAGCCAACGAAACTGAAATGCAGGCCCCTAGAGTCAGAGTACCTATTATTTAACCAGATCTTCCTTTTCTTCCTATAGCAGGGGTCTGCAATCTTAAATACTCAAAGAGCCATTTGGACCCATTTCCCACAGAAAAGAAAGCACTGGGAGCCACAAAACTTGGGTGGGCATGGCCAACTCGACATCGCTCACTTTCACCAGTCACATGACACACACACCCCCAGCCACATCTACCCAGCCGGTCATTAGGACAGAGAACTGGTTGTTAAAAAACACCGGGAACCACAAAACTCTTTTGACATCTCTCTCTCCCTTCCTCCCCCCTCCCTCCCTCCCCACCTCTTTCTATGTCTTTCTCTCTCCCCCTCTCTCTGTATCTCTCTGTCTCTGCCCCGGCCACTTCTCCATCACTCGCCATCGCCCTTACCTTCTCAAGCCAGGCAAGGATTGACTGGGAGGGGAGGGCGAGGAGTGGGGCTAGCCAGTGGTGGGGTCACCTGACAGGGAGCCACAGCAGAGAGCCCAAAGAGCCTCATGTGGCTCCGGAGCCGCAGGTTGCTGACACCTGTCTTAGAGTGAGGATTCATTTTCCAGGGACGAGACCCGTGTTTCTCAACCTCAGCAACTTTAAGGTGTCTAGACTTCAACTCCAAGAATTCCCCATCCAGCATACTTGGACACATGCTACTAAGTTGCCAAGGCTGAAAAATGCTGGACACTATCATTCTGGATGGTTTGTTCATTCATGAAGCCAATGGTTGCTTCGTTGGTGACCTGTTCTTCATCTATGAATTATGCATACTGAAAAAAATCTGCAAGCATGCTTTGATTTATCTCAGCTGCATTTGTGTCAGAATCCAGATCAAGATAAAGCCAAGTGCATTTACCTGCAAATGAAGAACCAAATTATTGGCAACAAATTTCTGAGTAACCCATTTTCACTGTGTCTACATTTTGGCAAAGATTTGACAAGTCCTAAAATTAGACGTATTGGTTGCCAAAAACGTTTCTTGTCTTCTCCATCACTAGCTTAAATTGAATTGGTCCCATCTGACTCTATTTTTTGTTCACTGCTATTCTAGTGATCGCTCCTCTAGTTTTATTGCTTTAAAAAAAACTCAGAGTTTTCTAATAAAAAGTACTTATTTTAAACTCCTGAGCTTTAAAAAAAAAACAAAAAAACCAAGGTTTCATTTCAGACAGCATTCAAGATACCCTGACACATCTGTAAAAGAATTGGACCTACCATTCTTGCTAAAAGCAAAATTCCTCTCAGTTACAAGGGGCAGAGGCAGAAGACAATGTGCACATTATAATTTATTGGATAGCAGAGACAATGTAGGTTTACAGCCGAATGCCAGGTAAAATTAGCAGATGGTTAGATGTAATAAGCAAAGGGGAAAGTGTGCTGAAATATAGTATACATCTGATCTTCATACAACAGACTTAGATTTGTAAATCCCTACAGCCTTTTTCAGCTGGAGAAAGAAAAGTTTGAAATCAGCAATGCGTGTTTAAGCATGCATCCTGGTCCAATTCTTCCATATGTGTGCACACTGTGGCTCAAAGGAAATTTGTGCATGTGCAAAGTCTGTTCTCATTGTCAAGGTTTCAACTCTGGCCTATAATGATGCAAATAATCCTAAAACACTTGCAAACTGCACTGCATTAGGTATCAGTGGTCTATGAGAGGGAGTTTCCGTGAGCGGTTGATACGTTTTAGCTACTTAGCTGCTACCACCTCACTTATTAGATCGTTTAGCACCCAGTTAGTCCTTGACCTTGTACCAATTGACTGTTCAGGTTCTGTGTAGCCAGAACATGAAAATAACATTTAACACAGCGCAGTACTTAAACAAAATGGTTCAGTTGAGATCTGCATACGTGGGACTGATGGGGGTAGATTGTAAGGGCGACACCAAAATATAATTTTATGTCATTTTATTCTATTTTATATTATATTGTATCTTATCCTATAACTATTTGTATTTTACCCTACTCTTATTTTAAATTGCTTGTATAAGATTTTATCGGTGATATGTGTTTGCACCTTTTGCTTTGATATGGCCTGTAGGCTAATCAAAGCTATCCCTTTAAACTGTATTCTATTCCAATATCATTTTAAATTGTATTTTATCTAATTCCATTTTAAATTGCTTTTATCAGATTTTAGTAATAATTTGTGTCTGGAACTCTGCCCTTTGATATGGTCCGAGGGCTAATCAATAAAGTAAAGTAAAGACTGTTCATAGTTATGACAGCCTTGGAAATGTTCCTTTCTGGCTGTCATAAAACATTGTGCCACCCCACCCCATGGTTACATTTCAGGTACTTGGCAGCCAACTCTCACCTGCAACTCTCACCTGCCAAGTGCCCTGCCATCATTGTTCACAATTTTCACTGCTGGCTTCCCTAAACGTCAGTGGGGAAGCTGGCAGGAAAAGTTGCAAGTGGAGGGGATGGAGGGATGGATTCCTGCAGCCTCCTGAAGGATTGCCCCTCCTTGAACAGAGGAAAACTGAAATTCTTTGGCACATGGTAGGAACATTCGAGAATTAAAGGGCTACCAGCTGGGAGGATTTCAGCTCCGCACAGAGATGAAACCCTCTGGCAGGCAGCTCTTTTCCCTCTCAAAGAGCTGTTGCCTGGAGGCAGCTCTTTTGCTTTGTCCATTTGACAATCTGGATCAGTGGTGGGTTGCCCCCGGTTCGCACCGGTTCTATAGAACCGGTAGTAACACCAGCGGGAGGTTCTGCCCACTGACCCTGATGTCATCAAAACACTTCTGTGCATGCGCAGAAGCTTCTGCGCTTGCACAGAAGAGTGCACGCATGCACGAGCAAAGCAATCGTGCAAACGCAGCCCCATTGCAAACCAGTAGTAAAGGTAAGTAGAACCCACCCCTGATCTGGATGATGACTTAACAGCCACAATTGGGAATGCTGGGATTGTGGTTGTTGAGCAAAGGAGTCATGTAGGCATCTCCCTTAATGATTGCTTTGCCCAACAACTGAGATTCGTAACCTAATTGCAGCCATTAAGCAAGGAGTATCTGCAGATGTTTCTTTTCTAGTTTTGTGATCTGAGTTATATAATGACAATATGCTGTAAACCCAGGATCCTTTGAGTTTTGACCAGTTTGGAAAAAAATAGGGAATAAACACGCTTTATGTTTTCAGAAGGGGATAGTTACCGTGGTGGTGAAGTGGTTAGAATGCAATATTGCAGGCTAATTCTGCTGACTTCTGATTGCCAGCAGTTCGGCAGTTCTATTCTCACCGGCTCAAGGTTGACTCATCCTTCCATCCTTCTGAGCTCGGTAAAATGAGGACCCAGATTGTTGGGAGTAATAGGCTGACTCTGTAAACCACTTAGAGAGGACTGTAAAGCACTGTGAAGCGGTATATAAGTCTAAGTGCTATTGCTCTTCTATTTGTTTGGACCCCAAATAGTGCATAGAGCCTGGTACTGGTAATACTGTCCATATATTAATTTAGTTCACAACCTCCATTTGATGACTTCCTAGCTCTAATCTATCTTAATTTTGCCCCAATTTCTTCCTTCTGCCCACCCACTGCTTTACGCCTTGCCTAAAGAAGAGTTTTGATTGATCCTAAAGTATTATCAGCCAATCGCTCTTTGTAGATGTACGTGGCTGTGGCTGCTTTTTGAAGTAAATAGGATTGCATTGTTTTTCTTAAATGCTGATTCAGCCAGCAAAAAGTAGACTTCTTGGAAGAGTTCCTTTTGATTTTTTTTCCCCCTTTGGAATGTACTTGGAAGATAGAAATGCAGGGAGCCCTGTTTTACTATTCCTGTGTTCATCTGCAGTTAGGCATACCTGGCCTAATTTGGCCATTCAAATGAAATTAAGCTGCTTACAAATATCAATATCTGTCTGTCTGCATTCTTTTTTATGCCTCATGACATAAAACACTCCTGGCTCCTGGCATCATCCAAAATGCAGCACTGGAAGAGAGGAAAATGAGACCATGTGAAATGCCATCAGTTACACCATCAGCACTGTCCTCCGTGATGGACAATGATGGACTTGGTGGATTCCTTCCCACTTTCTTTGTTCTGCTCAGCTATGAGAAACAGGCTGCTTTCTGCATTGTTTCCCACTGAAGCCATCTTTCCTCTAATTATATGCTAGGTGTCTGCTCTTCGTATCTTGAGCGCCTCCAGGAAATGCAGCGTACGATGCTCCACGTGAATGCCATGCCACAGCTTCAGAGTTTATGGAATAATTGAAAAATTCAATGAATAATTCTGTTCCCTTGGTTCATCTTTTCCCTGACTTTTTGTTCATAGTGTCCACCGCCACCTCCTGCAATGACCCTGGGATCCCACAGAACGGAAGCCGGAGCGGAGACAGCAAGGAAGCAGGAGACAACATCATTTTCCAGTGTGATGCAGGATACACCTTGCAGGGGGACGCTAAGATCAGCTGTGTGCAGATCGAGAACAGGTTCTTTTGGCAGCCTGACCCACCCACTTGCATAGGTACAGAAGCTGCAGCTGGGAGAGGCAGACGTGGGGGCTAGAACAGACCCATGGTTGCAAATCGGAGCAAATGAGACTGTAATCTGACCAGGGCTTTCCTTCTCAGGGTTCAGATGTTGAATTAATTATGCTGGGACACTTTACCCTTTTCCAGTGGTGAAATCCATTTTTTTTTACTACCAGTTCTGTGGGCGTGGCTTGGCAGGCATGGTGTGGTTTGGTTTGGTGGGCGTGGCTTGGTGGGCGTGGCAGGGGAAGGATACTGCAAAACCTCCATTTCCTCCCCACTCCAAATCACCTGTAACTTAGTCCAAGGTTCACAGACCACCAGCAAGTTATCAGGGTGTGGCAGGAATGGGGGTCAGCTTTGCAAAATTTTATGAAAATTGGTTAAGCTAGCCATCAGTTTTCTCAAGCACAGCAGGAGCGAAGGGAGGTTTTGCGGGTGGGGGAGTAAAATTTGAAAGCATTCTCACTTTTTTGCACAAGCCATGGTTAAATACAAGTGAAGGCATGATCTTAAACTGCCTCAGGTTTAAAGCCTTAATGTGTCCTAAATGCATGCATGGGTTGCTTGAGGGGTCTCTCAAAAGAGGCAAAACAAGTTGTGGTTTCTGCTCTGTCTTCTCCTCCTTTAGCACCTTGTGGTGGGATCCTGGCAGGACCTTCAGGGGTTATCTTGTCCCCTGGTTACCCAGAGCCTTACCCTCCAGGAAAAGAGTGTGACTGGAAGCTGACCGTCTCACCGGATTATGTCATCGCTCTGGTGTTTCACACGTAAGTGCCTCAGATGCCCTTATTTTAAGTCATGGATGCAACTCAGTAAATGGAGATTAAACCTCTTGGTTCTCTCTGAAGAAATCACCTTTCTGTGCTATAGGGGGCCCGATGGCACAGTGGTTTAATGGCACTCGACTTGTCGGCAAGAAATGGTTGGCATTCTGGTTGTTCAAGCCCATAACATGCATGGCAGAATGAGCTCCCATCATATGCTACTAGCTCCCACCAGGGTGAAATCTACTTACCTTCCCTACCTGTTTGGAAGTACATGTGCTGTGCGTGCGTGCGTCACATGCAGACCCTCTGCGCATGCGCAAAGGTTAAAAAACAGGTTACTTCCTGGTTAAAACCAGGAAGGAACGACAACCGGATGGGTGGGCGGAGCCCAGTGGTGAAATCTAAAATTTGTTACTACCGGTTCTGTGGGCATGGCTTGGGAGGGGGGGGTAATGTGACTGGGTGGGCATTTTTTTGAAACTTTTAAAAGCATTTTTTCTACAACCTCTTCGGCGAAGAGGTTGTTAAAAAATGCTTTCAAAAGGCTCTGACGATCCCATCTGATTGCCTGATCGACAGAGGCTTTCTTTCTTTTAAATGCTTCTGACGATCAGGCAACTCAGCTTGGATCGTCAGAGGCTTTTAAAAGAAAAAAAGCCTCTGCCGATCAGGCAACTCAGCTGGGATCCTCAGAGGCTTTTAAAAGCATTTTTTCTACAACCTCTGAAGGTTGTAGAAAAAATGCTTTCAAGAAGAAAAAATTATTTTAAAAGCCTTTGAGGATCCCAGCTGAGCCGCGTGATCATCAGAGGCTTTTTTTTTACTTTTAAAAGCATTTTTTCAGCCGAAGAGGTTGTAGAAAAAATGCTTTTAAAAGTAAAAAAAAAAAGCCTCTGATGATCACGCGGCTCAGCTGGGTATGGGGGAGGGGGCAGGGATTTTTGCTACCGGTTCTCCAAACCACCTGCCACCATCGCTACCGATTCGGCCGAACCGTTAGCATTTCACCCCCTGGCTCCCACCCACTTAGCAGTTTGAAAGCATGTAAAATGCAAGTAGATAAATAGGTACCATTCTGATGGGGAAAGCTAGCAGCATTCCATGCAGAAGTGGGAGCTGGGGCTGGATCTGACAGATGCAAGGCAACGTCAGCATAAGAAAGCGAGATCCCCCAAATGCTGCTAGCCAGATGGTGCAAAGCTAGTTCACTCCCTGTGGTATACCATGGATAGACCACATGCATGAATAAAATGAACTAGCAATCTTAGGCTGCCAGAACTCTTCTGTGGTAAACAGCATTATAGATTTCCTTGACTATGTATGCCATAAAGAAAAAACATCTTTCTGTATTGTTACTGCCTGTGAAAGTTTCCAAACAAAGAGGGTGTTGATTCACAGATACGAGAATCAATTATGACAACAGATAGTTGCAAACCTTCTCTATTATCTGGAAAAAGACCTGCCTTGATACAGGATCATAGGAAGACTGTTGGAAAAAAAGTCAAAATGTCTCTGCCCCAAAGTGAGTGGAGATCAGGGGCAGATTCCAAATCCCGTCGCTACCAGTTCGCTCGTGGGCGCGTGGGTGGTGCTTCTGTTCATACGCAGAAGTGGCTGGGCGGAGCCTCCCTCCACCGCGACCAGCTCGCCCGATCCGGTACAAACCTGTAGCAACCCACTACTGGTGGAGATTTATTAGTCAAAAATGGGGGTAGTTCAGCTAGGCATCCAGAGCATGATCACATGATCACAGGGGTGTGTGCAACATTTTTTAACGGCCAAAAGTACTTTACAAACTGTAAAGCCCCAATTCTAAGGTTATTGTAATTCCAGACCATCGTTAAATGTACAGCTGTAAGTTGAGGAGTACTTGTAAAAAACTGGAGAGAAGCACATTGTTATACAAAGCTGATTTTGCTTCCTTCGTAAAAATATTCATTTCTTGAAGCAGATCACATTTTCTAGTAGGATTCCCACATCTTAAAGTTCCCAACGTTAAGTAAACATAACTCCAAGGTATACACATTAATCTGCATGCTGTAAATTTTATTACTGATGCATAACTTGCACTCTGTTTCTGCAGTGAAGCACAACTTGGAGATTCGCTACAGTAGTTTTCAAGTCAACCCTGCTTTTTGCATCATAACATTTCCTGCAAACCATTCTGCATTTAAGCCTACAACATGGCATTGTCTACTTACAAAAGTATATATCAATTCATATCACAATCAACACATGTCTGCAGCCACCACAATTTATACATCAATACACTGAACAACCAAGGGGGCATTACAACTCCTGCTCTTTGTTGATTTATTCATTAGGTATTCATTTATTCTCGCTCATGCTTTTTTTTTTCGTTAAAAATGTAAAATATTTTAATTACATTTATTGTTATATTTTACTAAATATTTTAGAAAGGAACATGCAAACTAATACAAATTAATGAATGAGAAAGAGAACAGAAGAAAAACACAAAAAAGTTTACTAAAACTACATGAAAGGAAAAATATATAAAAAGGAAAAGGAAAAGAAATAAAAAAGATTTAAAGAAGTAACATCCAGTCTACCTTGAACCAGTTAGAAATTATAAATTTTCCTCTTGCTCTATGGTTACAACATAATTCTCTTTTTCTATAATCTGTTTTGTGTAAACATCAAAACCATAAACCATAAGCTCATTTTTTTTATTTCACATAAAACGTCTACAAGAACTTTCCAATAAACATAGATATTACCTCTTCTCTGATCAAAGAAGTCAATTTAACCATCTCAGCAAGTTCCATCATCTTCACCAACCATTCCTCCATTGTAGATAATGCTGAATCTTTCCATCTTTGTGCATATAATAATCTTGCTGCGGTTATATTCATGCCTTATTTTCATCATCTACAGCTCTATCACTTTCAGCAACCATCCTTCCGTACAATTTATATAACCATCATTTCATACAATTTATATAACTATCATTTCATACAATTTATAGCAATTTGCAATCTATAGCTCTTTCCATAAACATACATTTTTTTCATAACTGAAGTCAATTCACTTTTGTCATAAATGCTCTCTGAGTCAACAAACATGCAGTACTTTTTCTTACATTCATATATTTTTCAATGCCTTCTGAAGAGCAAAAATCTTGCCTGTACACCCTGACATAAAACCCACTTCCCGAATTTTGTTTATTGCCACCTCTTGTACACAATTAATCAGAATTCCACCAAGTCTCTTCCCAGAGTTACTTAATAGAATTGTGTAAATTTTCCATTTACTCTTGTTTCTGTGCTTTCCCCCTTTGTAGAAAGGAATAACAAGGACATTCCTTTAAGCCAGGGGTAGGTTCTATTTACCTTTACTACCAGTTCGCATCGTGCCCACGCGCATGTGCAGAAGCTTCTGCGCATGCACAGATCACCTATGATGACATCCGGGTCAATGGGCAGAGCCTCCCACCGGTTTTACTCCCGGGTCTTGCAAACCGGTCCAAACCGGGGGCAACCCATCACTGCTTTAAGCCACATGCACAGTTACATTTTTAATTTGTCAATTGATTTTATGGCATCCAACTCCAAATGACTCTGGACAGCTCACAATACACCAAACAATATGGAAACAATATATTAAAAAAGCAAACAGACAATAAAACTGTAATTCAGAGGGGGGGGGAAGAAAGAAGTAAGATAATGAACTGGGGTACCTGCAAACATCTCACCAATAATTAGCATCCAAGAAAAGAGAATCTGCCACCCTAAGGCAAAGCCTGGAGAACAATCAGGTCTGAAGGGATAGCTCCCATCAACAGGCTGGGAGCTATCCAGATCCCTGGGGAACCTCATTCCAGATAAAGTCTTCACACACACATTAAACAAAACTCTATAAGCAAACCACATCCATATTTTAACATTTCATGAGATAAACTATCTACACTTTCACCTATACTGGGGGTTTCCCCCCCGACTTTCTGGCAGCATTTATGATATCCTTTTCATCAGCATAGGCTTGGATACTAGCATTTATAGCAATGATATTGAGTCCACATTTCAGCATACCATTAACATTATCAGGTATATACAGTTCTCCTTCCAACATTTCCTCATCTCAATTTCAACACAAATGATGTCATTGGTTTAGTTTAGTTTAGTTTTTTTTGGTTTTTTTTTAGTTTTAAATTGGCTTTATTCATTCTTGTGACAGATCTTTATTTGGCCTCTTCACCTATTTCATTCATGTATATATATATGTGTGTGTGTTTGTGTGTGTATGTGTGTGTGTGTATGTATATACACACACTTACACACACATACATACATACATATATACATACCAGTGGTGAAATGTAAAATTTGTTACTACCAGTTCTGTGTGCATGGCTTGGTGGGGGGTAATGTGACTGGGTGGGCATGGGCAACTTTTTTTTTATTTACTTTTAAAAGCATTTTTTCTACAACCTCTTCGAAGAGGTTGTAAAAAATGCTTTTAAAAGCCTCTGACGATCAGGCAAGTCAGCTGGGATTGTCAGAGGCTTTTAAAAGCATTTTTTTTTCTACAACCTCTTTGGCTGAAGAGGTTGTAGAAAAAATGCTTTCAAAAGTAAAAAAAAAAAGCCTCTGCTGATTGTGCAGCTCAGCTGGGCATGGGGGTGGGGCTCAGGGATTTTTGCTACCAGTTCTCCGGCGATCCGGTCCGAACCAGGAGCATTTCACCCCTGATACACACACACACACACACACACACACACACAATTTCCATCACAATCTTTCTGCACTGTCTTAAAGAAACTAAACAACTAAACTAAACTAAACTAAACTAAACTAAACTAAACTAAACTAAACTAATATACACATTACATAATATATTTTCCATCATCATTTTTTTTGGCAGCAGTAATTCTTTTCCATGCTTGCTTCCCTCATCCACAACCTCTTTCACTTTCATCAGTCTACCAAGTGCCATTTTTAATGATCCATACACTTCTGCAGTTCTCACCATTCTTTTCACTGTGTTCTAACCACCTTCAACATAATCTTCCCTTATAGCTTTGTGTCCGTGTCTTCAGCTGCTTGGACAAGAAAGCCCCTGAGGTTTTCTTGGCAAGATTTTGGGAACCTTCTTCCCAGGCTGAGAGGGAATGATTGGCCCAAGGCCACTTTGTACCTAGGCAACGCATGAACTCATGGTCTCCTGCTTTCTAGCCTGATGCCTTTAATTGTTATGCCGCACTGGCTGGTTCCTTCTGTCTACCTTCCACCCATTCTTTTCAAAGGAGAATCTATTTCTTAATACTTTATCATACAGGGCTCAGTCTTTTTTTTCCCCTTGTGGACAGTTTATTTTTTTTATTTTTATTTTTTTAAATTTGATTTATATGCCACCCTTCTCCGAAGACTCAGGGCGGCTTACAATGTGCTCAGCAATAGCCTTCATCCTTTTGTATATTTATACAAAGTCAGCTTATTGCCCCCACAAACTGGGTCCTCATTTCACCTACCTTAGAAAGGATGGAAGGCTGAGTCAACCTTGAGCCTTGGCGAGATTCGAACCCTGCAGTAATTGCAGGCAGCTGGTCTTAATAACCAGCTTAATAACAGGGTGCCTTAAACCCCTGTACTACCAAGGCTCTTATTTTTGTTACTTTGTTCTGTTTCTACATCAATGTTTTTCCACCTTTGACATTACTACATATCTGCCAGTGGTGAAATCCAATTTTTTTACTACCGGTTCTGTGGATGTGGTTTGGTGGGTGTGGCTTGGTGGGCACGGCAGGGGAAGGATATTGCAAAATCCCCATTCCCAACCCATTCTAGGGCCAGCCAGAGGTGGCATTTGCCGGTTCTCCGAACTGCTCAAAATTTCCACTACCGGTTCTTCAGTACCTGTCAGAACCTGCTGGATTTCACCCCGATATCTGCCCCACATATAAAATGTTTCATTACCCTTGAGTCTTTCACTGATTCCCTCTTTTTTTCGTCATAAACATCAAAGCAACCATGCTTTTAAAGCAACCATCCTTTTACTAGTCCGTGCATAGAAATAGTTTTTTTTTCATAAACCAAGTATGCCAAATCAACAGTCCTTTTCCAAGTAAATAGTCACCAGTCATTTCTCCTCTTGGTCCTTTGAGTGGGACCAATAACTGTTTTTCTTCACTCACATCTTATGTCCGTCCATCCATCTATCCATCCATCCATCATGTCACTTAGCAGAGTAACCCAATCATATTCATTTAGAATATTTTTTTTATTTTTTAAAACACAGAAATAAACATACAATACATCTTTTTGGAACAGAGCATTGATCCGGTCATAAATTTGTTCAACTTCTTGCTCATCTTTAACAAAAAAATTTATATTATATTTTTGCCATAATACTCAAATCTCAACTATTACCATCTTATAAAAAACTAACTCATATTAACTTGATCAAAGCAATTACCCTTCTATTAATCCACCTTAAATCTTAATTCAATTAATACCTCATAATGCATTTCACAATTCTTACCCTAAATACTCACTATTAACAATACAATTTAAACGTGTTTATATTTCTAAACCTTATTTCCATTTCTAAAACTTCCTTACATTTTATTATTACTTCATATAATAGTCATTACATCTTTATTTAATTATTACTTCCTCAAATTTAAGTCTTAACTCTAATCTTGAAAATATACCAATTTGACATTTAAACAGAGTTCTTAGTTCAAATAACACAACATAATACAATTCACAATAATCTCCCTAGATTCATTTAGAATATTGAACACTGTTTCCCAAATCCTTCCCACTCTTTAATTCTTATAATAGGGTAGTATCCCTCCATCTAACACTTGCAGGATCTAACACTTGAAGGTCATAGGTCTCATGTTTATGCAAGGAGCTAAAGACTGAAAGACAATTGTTTCCCCGAATTTCCCCTTTTTAATCCTTCTGCTGGGTTTAGTTCTAATCAGCCCTTTGAAGTCGACGAGGCCTGGAAACAAGTGCCACAAGAAATACTAGAACTTTATTTTACTGATAACAATGAAATATTGATAGTTATTCCTTCCCTCTCTTTAAACCAGTGGTGAAATCTGAACCAATTTACTACCGGTTTGCTGGCTGCGCATGCACGCTGCGTGCCAAATGCACGCTGCATGCATGCATGTGCACCATACACCAAATGCACACATGCACGCATGTGCAGTGCACACATGCACGCATGTGCAGTGCACACCAAAAGGAGGCTTGGGAAGGTAAGTAGAACAGCGCGCGGGGGGGGTGATCAGCTGTGGTGCGCAATCGTCAGAGCCTTTTTAAAAACCTTTTTAAAGCATTTTTTTTACTACAAGCTCAGGCAAATAGGTTGTAAAAAAATGCTTTTAAAAGTTAAAAAAAAAGGCTCTGATGATCAGGCACCACAGCTGTGATCATCAGAGCCTTTTTTTTACCTTTTAAAAGCAGGAAGAAACGACACCTGGGAGGTGGCTGAGCCTTGTGCTGCCATCGCTACCAGTTCTCCGAACCACCTGCCATAATCGCTACCGGATCGCCCAATCCGGTCTGAACCGGGAGCATTTCACCCCTGCTTTAAACCCAAAGAAGTCAAGGTGGAACTACTATGAATTTCTTTCTTATGCTTTCTTGATCTCCTAGGTTAAGTTTACATTTTGCTAGCGGTCTCTGCATACCTTCTCCATGATCATCTCTGTGCTCCTCTACACCTCCTGTAAATGCTACTTCAAGTATAAATCTTTCTAAAAGGACAACAAAGAACTAAAAGGATCAGTTTGTCAATCTCCTGTCAGTAGCAGAAAGCTTGATTCTCACACGTCTCAATATCTGGATTTGTTGTAAGGAAAAAAGAGGCTAGATTACAAAAGATATGTGGATCCTAGCCCCTTTAATCAGCAGCTGTCTTGAAGTGGGTCTTCCTTGCTGCCTTTGATCCTTTTCCTAAAGCAGTGTTTCTCAACCTTGGTGGCTTTTAGATATGTGGACTTCAACTCCTAGAATTCCCTAGCTAGTATTGCTGGCTGGAGAATTCTGGATGCTGAAGTTGGCACATCTTAAATTCACCGAGGTTGAGAAACACTGCTCTAAATGTTTCTTAATAGAACAAGGGAGCTGGCTAAGTTATTGTTGAGCTATGAATATGCATCTGTTCTTGTCTTGCAATGTTTTGCAAATGTCCATTGTTCGGAGGCTCAGAGAGTTCCATTATATCACTAGTCTTAGTAGTCAGATACTTGATACACTTTGTTTCCTTTTCTCTTCCCTTTCAGGTTTAATTTGGAACCAGGGTACGATTTCTTGCACATCTATGATGGGCCCAGCTCAGTTAGTCCCCTGATTGGGAGTTTCTATGATACCCAAGTACCAGAAAGGATTGAGAGCAGCAGTAACAACCTCTTCCTGGCCTTCCGCAGTGATGCTTCCGTCAGTAATACAGGATTTGTAATCCATTACACAGGTATCTATTTTATTTTATTTATTTTATTTTGTCGAGTACATATTAGATAATATATATAAGTATAAGCATGAATTGAATACATAAAATGAGTACAATTAAAGGGAACATTAGGACAGGGACGGTAGGCACGCTGGTGCTCTTATGCACGCCCCTTACAGACCTCTTAGGAATGGGGTGAGATCAACAGTAGACAGTTTTAGGTTAAAGTTTTGGGGGTTTTGGGATGAGACCACAGTCTGGTAGTGCATTCCAGGCATTAACAACTCTGTTACTGAAGTCATATTTTCTGCTGTCACATCTTCTGGAAGACTATGCATGCCATTCAGGGGTGGGTTCTACTTACTTTTACTACTGGTTTGCATCATTCCCACGCGCGCTCTTCTGCACATGCGCAGATCTACTTTGATAACGTCCAGGTTAGTGGGCGGAGCCTCCCGCCAGTTTTACTACCAGTTCTAGCGAACCTGTCCGAACCGGGGGCAACCCACCACTGATGGCGTTCTTATTGCCTTCCTCCATGTACCAGCAAGCAGATTTCAAATCTCGTTTGATCTAGCAGCTGATACAAATCTTTGTATCAACTATAAAAAAAAACCTATTTCTGCACTTGTGAGTGCTTCTAGATATATTGGAGTCCAGTTCCATCATTCCCCACCCAATGGGCCCACTCTTGTAATCCTTGTGTTGACATGGTTTTGTACGCTGGAATTATAGGTGCTGAAGTCAAGTCCAATAATCAATTAAAAGCCATGGGAAAAAGTTGATGCATTCATTTTTATTATGTGATGAAGTCTGAAAATTAAGCCCATGTAAGAACGGAATTGCAAAGGGATGCAGTGGCTCAGTGGCTAAGATGCTGAGCTTGTCGATCAAAAGGTTGGCAGTTCAGTGGTTTGAATCCCGAGTTCTGCATAAAGGGGTGAGCTCCCGTGACTTGTCCCAGCTTCTGCCAACCTAGCAGTGCGAAAGCAGGTAAAAAATGCAAGTAGAAAAATAGGGACCACCTTTGGTGGGAAGGGAACAGTGCTTCGTGCGCCTTTGGTGTTTAGTCATGCCAGCCACATGACCACGGAGACGTCTTCGGACAGTGCTGGCTCTTCGGCTTTAAAACGGGGATGAGCACTGCCCCCTAGAGTCAGGAACGACTAGCACATATATGCAAGGGGAACCTTTACCTTTTTAAGAACGGAATTAGAAAAATATTTTTTTGAAAGAAAAGTCATCTGCTAAGTGGGTGCATCATAGGAGTAGGAGGAAATTGTAGAGGTGTTTTATTTTGCCCTTTTCCCATTCCTCCTCTGTATTAGAGCAATCCAGTCCCATGCTGGTGACTCTTCAAAGAGCAGAGTGTGCCCTTTTCCATTTCCTTCTGCTTTTTCTGTCCTCTTGAAGCACATCTGAAGTTCATCAGGTGCAACATTTTCATGCTGCACTGGGTTTAAAGATTTGTTTGGTACACATAGGCACTTAGCATGCACTAAAGGGAAGAAGGTGGGAGAAAAGCTATTTGTAGTCCATGTAAGATGCACTGGTTTTATTTTTTTTATCCGTTACCTTCTCTTTTTTCCAACCCTAGTTTTTTCAAAGTGGAGAAGGAAACTTTTTCAACTTTTCTTTGTTCCTTGGTTCATGAAACAAACATTCTAACTCATAGAACTTAGGGATCTCTCTTGCTACAAGAGAGATCATCTTAGCATTTCAGTCTGAGCAACTGCCCATGAACAGCAGGTTGATAATGGCAATCTGGCCAGCTGAAATTGCATTCTCCACTTTGAGACGCTTTGTCATGTCAGAAGAAAGTGACATGGGGTGAATCATCTAACTCAGGGGTTGGCAACGTTAGGCACTCAAAGAGCCATTTGGACCCGTTTCCCACAGAAATGAAAACACCGGGAGCCACAAAACCCTTCCTGTGCCTAACTATTTCCTGAGCGGCCACAGAGCTAGCATATATAGTTGAATTAAATGTTCTGTTTTCATCTGAAATTTTTCTTTTCTTGAATTTATCCATGGTTGGACTACCAGGGGTCGAAAAGCTCAATAGATCGTGTGTTGGCGGGTTTCACAAATTGGCAGTTGTAATATTTTGAGCGACAGGGAGCCACAGCAGAGGGATGAAAGAGCCACATGTAGCTCTAGAGCTGCGGGTTGCTGACCCCTGATCTAACTCAATGCCTGACTAGGTAGCTCAGTGGCTAAGACACTGAGCTTGTCAATCAGAAAGGTCAGCAGTTTGGTGGTTCAGATCCCTAGTACAGGTCTCCTGTGTGAGCAGGGGGTTGGACTAGATGACCTCCAAGGTCCCTTCCAACTCTATTACTGTTACTGAAGCAGATGGCTAGTGATGCTCACACTTCAAATAGACAAGGGTGCATCCAGCCTTTTTTCTACTTTGCCTAGATGTGCAAATAAGTGAATGGTTAAAACAAAACAAACTTGCTAGTGGTGTGTTTGTAGGTGTGGGTATGTGTATGGGTGGGAAACCACAAGGAAATAAAACTCCTAGATGGAAGACAGCAGCAAAGCAATTTTGTAGAGTTGCTAAGAAAGCGACATAGCTCTGTCTATGTATTCAAAGGAGGATGGACTCAAGTAAAGAGAATTTTTATGCCTGGATACACACAACCTAAAAATGCTAAGCATGACCAAATAAAATAAACAAGAAATCCCAGGACCCAAGAAGTCAAAAAATTGCAGCAAGACAGCAAGTAAGCTCTTCCTTACTACTGTCAAGGGAGCTAATTGTGTCCATTCATATACAAGATCTTTCCCAAACAGATATTTGGACCTAATAAACACCCCTCATTTAGAATATCCAAAGCATCATTCCTGAGAACTAAAAGAGATAAAATTTTTGAGCCCCTCTATTCTGGGTTTAAGGGAGGCAGTGGCTCAATGGCTAAGACGCCGAGCTTGTCAATCGAAAGGTCAGCGGTTCAGCGGTTCGAATCCCTAGTGAGCTCCCGTTACTTGTCCCAGCTTCTGCCAACCTAGCAGTTCGAAAGCAGGTAAAAAATACAAGTAGAAAAATAGGGACCATCTTTGGTGGGAAGGTAACAGCATTCTGTGTGCCTTTGGCGTTGAGTCATGCTGGCCACATGACCACGGAGACATCTTCGGACAGCGCTGGCTCTTCGGCTTTGAAATGGAGATGAGGAGTCAGGAACGACTAGCACATATGTGTGAGGGGAACCTTTACCTATTCTGGGTTTATGTTGGGATGTGTATGAGTGTCTCAAAATATATGTAGTTTAGGATGTGTGCAACCCATAAGTTTTCACAGTATATTTTATCTCAGTATGAAATGTTCCTTCTCAAGAAAGGGTAGCTTAGACATTCACTATGTTGTTCACTACACAGAGAAATTTTCACTACGGGGTGGGGGGGGGATCCTCAATTTCAGCAATAAAATGCTTCTTCAAAACCAAAGTTCATTGATTGACACCCAGTTGGTTAATTTGTAATGGATTCCTTCAAGAAGAAACGACCAGTTTTTGCCATTGCTTTTGATGAAGGAGGGGACTGATTAAGTCAAGGCCACATCTGGAAATGGAAGTTTCCTGTTTTTCTCTCTCTCTTTCTTTCTCTCTATCTCTCTCCAAAGGATACCTATGCAAATGTTTGTGCCCTTATCTAGTCACAGAGCTGTTCTGCTGGGAGCGAAAAGCGGCATTTTAAACTTTCATGCATGAAAGGAAAGCCAAACATCCTGAGCATGAGATCAGAGAAACTGGAAAACTTGAGGGAAAGGAAGGAGGAGGAACGACAGCCTTCTGGCCAGGATGATACAACCGAGTTCAAATTCCCTTTGAGACTTCTCTGAGCTTGCTGCCTTCAGGGTTCAGGCAACTGAAGTGGCAGGAAAGCATTTGTAATGAACCAAATAATTAAACCTGTTCACTGGTTTTCGTAAGAATTGGGGAACACGATTGCAGTTGCAAAAACCAACCATCTACTTGGTCCTTTTGTCTCCCACAACACCCAAATTAAAATTGTTTTGACACTGACACCAACATTCAAGCCAGTTATCTACTACTGCTAAGTGAATGTCCAAGAGGCTCAGTTTTTCAAACTAAATGAGTCTGAAGGGCAAAAAAATTCTTCCTTGGGTGAGATTTAGAAAAAGGAAAAGAGCAATTGGGCTGTGAGGAGTTACTGTTGGTTGCTTGTTTGCTTGCTTTCTCCAGGGTATGGAAAACAGCATGGCCAGTGTTGTATGAAATAGTCCACCAAAACAAGTCACCCACCTTTTATTGAACATACTGCATGAAACTAGCTTGTGTGGTTATTGTTTTGGTTTAAGCCCAGGTAAGACCCCCAAAGTAAGTTAATTGTGCAAACTGTGGTTCATTTAAGCAAGGGAGAACAACAGGAGTGAAATCCAAAAATTTTCCCTACCGGTTCTGTGGGCGTGGCAGGGGAAGGATACTATAAAATCCCCATTCCCTCCCAGGAGAAAGGATATTGCAAAATCTCCATTCCCACTCCACTCTGGGGCCAGCCAGAGGTGGTATTTGCCGCTTCTCCAAAGTACTCAAAATTTCCGCTACCGGTTCTCCAGAACCTGTCAGAACCTGCTGGATTTCACCCCTGGAGAAGAAGTATGTTGTGTGAGCGTTTCTCTCAAACAATCTGGGCCATTGTCAGCAATCAAAGGAAATCAAAGTACAATTAGCAAAACATAAAAGTAAAGATCAAAGATGGCAAGTGAATGAATGAAGAAACAGGTTCTCACTTTCCTCCCCAAAGGTCTGAGTGAAGACTGAGCTCTTCATGGATCTTCTGAATAACAGCAGTGTAGGAGGCATCTTGATTGCAGGGAGAATCTTCTTCCAGAGGGCAGGCACTGGGCACATTCTCCCAGGGGCCAGCCCTATCTTCAGATATCTTGGGTAGATGCTTTTGTTGTGACCAAGGCTTCCTGAGTCATTAAAACACACAAGTAGTCCCAAAAACCTCTTTTATTGCAACAGCTGTGAATTACGTTCATTCACAGCTGA